TAAAACAGGAAAAGTGCGCGCGAGAATTATAACTCTGACTAGCCTCTTGAGTCAAATGGTGTTACGCCCCGCGCGAGTTAGCCTTGTCTATCTGGATTACACTTCAGTTATGTTGAAGTCGCGCTCGTGAATATGTTTCGACTTTATCGCGGGTCCATGTTGTTCAACGAAAAAAATCGAAATTAAACCTTAAAAATAATTATCTTTTTTTTATTTATTAAAAATATAGGTACAGTGTAGTGTGTGAAATATTTAATTATTATTATTATTTTTTTTTTTTCTTGAGGAAAAAAAAGCTATCAACTCAAATACAATATAATTAAATCATAAATTTATATGACTAATTTGTTCTAGTTTTATAAAATTTTTTAAAAAAAATAATAATAAATAATCACTGCTTTAGAAAAATTTTTAAAAATATTTAACTGATAATATTTGAAAATTTTTTATTAATTAAATTTCTTTTTATCCGTTTATAAAGAAGTAAATAATATTTTATTTTTTACTAGAAATAATTTTATTATAAATATTTATTTCTCTTATTATTTATATATGATAATATTTATTTAATTTTATTATATAATCTTCAAGAATAAAACAAAAAACAGGGGAAAAAAAATTGTTTTCCAAATTTTAATACAGTGAATATTAATTATTATTATTAAATTTGTTTTTTTTTTTACACTGAAAATAATTTTACAAATAAAAATAAAATAATTAAAAAAAATAATATTACACATTTTTCGAAAATAAATTTCAAATTTTTGACCTTACTTTAAAATTCACACGTGACAATATTTATTTTTTATATTAATAATTAATACGTATTTAATTTTTTTATCATTTGCTTATCATACAAAAAAAAAAAAAAAAAAAAAAAAACTGAAAAAATATCGCAAAAACTTACTAAAATGAAAAAAGCAATTTTTTTTTCCTCAAATAATTTTTTTTGAAAAAATAATAATTATTAATTACCACAGTGATGAAATAAAAGTGACAGAAAATTCACGAATAATCTATGTTTAAATCATCTCAATTTACAATTTTCATTATCACCTTCCCAAGGTGTAATGACCCGCGGGTTTCTATTTAATATTCGTTTTAAAAAATAAACGCGCGAGAATGAATTGTCACAATTTTATCAATGTCAAAGTGTATAAAAAAAAATAATAAAAGTTTTAAAAATAAAAATATAATAATAATAATAAAAATAGTAATAATAATTAAAAAGTGTTTTAAATCATTGCCAATTTACTTATTCGATTGATAATAATATATCTATCTTTATTTATATATAGTCGAGTGAAGGATTCAATTCAATAAACAATGTCTTCGACCCTTGCAATTGGAGTGATTCTTTAATTTATTGGATAAGTGGCTATTTCGATTAGTAAACGTATACATAATATGTCTCATCCAGTGGTGAATAATAAACACCGGCGTGTGTGATATAAGCCGGTATATATATATATATATATATATAGACAGAGAAATACTTATTGTCATATAGTGAAAGAAAAAAAAGAGAAAGGAAAAACATTTGACAAACTGGAGGTGCAAAACGCCTCGGTGGTGCCTGAAAAGGCTTTGACTTGCCTTTTTACTTATATGCATTGCTACACTCATTACAGCATCTATTACACTGCCAAAATTCTCGAAATTTAATCAAAAATTCAGGGGAAAAGAAAAATTTTTCATCGGAAAAAAAAAATTCAGACATTCTTTTTTTTGTGAGATTTATACTGAGAATTACAAAATCGAATGGCGACCATGGGGGTCATCGTATACATACCAAGTATGTTAATTTAATGAAGAAATTAAATTTATAAAAATATAATTATAAAAGAGACGTAATTTGAAAAAAGGGATCTGGAAGCAAAAAAGTATAGGTTATGTTTATTTTAATTTGGTTGCGTCAATTTTCACTCACCGAAGATAAACATAGCCTATAATTTTTTTCTTTGTCTCATTTTTTCAAAACGTGTTACAAATATAAGAAATTTATTTGTTTAAAAAAAAATTGTGCTTAAAATAAATCTTTTTCTTTTACAATTATAAAATATAAAAATCTTTGAAAGTGAGAATTTTTTTTTTCTTACAATTTCTTTTTTCTCGATTGTTTCACACATGGTTATCCAAAAGGACATATGTCTTTGATAAAATGCGAAGTCATCTAAAACTTCTAATATGCACTTCAAACATTGCTCGTGTATTGCATTTTACTGTGGCGTATACGTATTTGTCGACCCTGACTTACGACCGAGAAACGCGAAAACATAATTGATGGTTGTTATTATTTTTTTTTTATTCCAACATAAAACCTGATAATAAATATTTGATAAATTAAATAATTCCACATTGACAGCAATATGTTCATTTACGAAATTCGGAAATTCTTTCCTTTTCAAATCTTATATGTATATAGCGAGATATAAACACTGATTCCACGTGTGTATTGGTGCTTGTGACGTTTTGTTTTGATGAAAACATAATATATAATGTTTCTAGTACTTTGATTTTGTGTAAATATTTTTCTCTTATTTAATAACATGAAATTCCTTTGATAACAAATCGTGATATTTTTATCAGGGGTAGAAAAAAAAGGTGACAAAAAAATTAATGAAGAATAAAGAATAAAATTTTATTGTAATTTTTTAGTTTTGAAATTTATATATATATATATATATTTTTTTTGAAATATAATATCAAATGTACCTGTTCAGAAATAATTATCTGCGAATAAATTTAAGATATACGTTAAAAGTCCAAATCTAAACGTAGTTAACGCGCTTCATTTAACGATAACGTTATCACATCGTCAAACGGAAAGTCATGCTGACTCACGAAAAAAATTTTTTTTTTTAACACAACCACATATAATTGCCATTCGCAATGTTCGCTTGGCCATCGTTCTCGACAACGAGGTCAATCGAAAGTACAATTAGCCTTATCAACTCCTTTTGTCCATATAAATATCAACGAAAATAGCTTGCTAATTAAAAATCATGTCAATTGTTACAGCATCGGAGTTTAAACGAAAAAAAAAAACATCTTTTTTCAGATATGGAAACATTTCTTCAATTTTTATTATTGTTATTAGTATTTTTTTTTTTTTTTTATTTATCTAAACATAAACAATGAAAACAATAATTGAAATTAATAAAAATTTTGTATCAATATAGAATTCCAGAAATAATAATTAGATGTTATATCAAATTTTTTTCTCTTCCTCGAAACTGATAACGTTTCTTTGCTTTTTATTTTATTCCTCTTTGTGTATTATTACTTTATTCCCAGGACCAGTAAATTACATAAGTTCCGTGGAATCTGATTAAAATTTTCTCTATCGGAAATTCATTTTCAAAATCAAACGATAAAATATATTCTAATTTTGAAAATAATTTTTAATTCTATTAAAAAAATAACAAAAAGATACAAAATTTTATTTTCAACCCGACTTTCATCTGAATTTTCTACATTTTCCCTGACTAGGAAATAAAAAAAAAATTGTTTTTTTTAAATAATCGACTTTTTTATCTGTAAGCACCCTAAATAATAAGATAACAATAATAGCAATAATAATAACAATAATAAATAAAAATAATAATAAAAATAAAAAAATTAATAAAATTTATTAATTTTTTTTCGAAATTTATTTATTCGATAATAATTTATTTATAATTTACCGGAAATATTTATTATCAAAAAAAAAAACGAATAATAAATTAATTTGTAATAAATTTTTATTGATTAATTTAGGTGTCAATTATTGAAAAATAATTTTTTCAAGTGCTTTGAAATGAATTTGTAAATAAATTAGAAAAAAATGTCTTTTTGAAAAATGTCTTTTTAAATATATAAAAATTTCACCCAAAAAAAAAAACAAAAAAAATTATAGAAAAAATTTAATGATTATAGAAAATACGAATGATTTGTATAAAGGATCAAAAACGATATTGACTCTATATACTATATGGAATGACAAAGTTCGAATAATATTTTATAAAAATACGATTGGAACCTGAATTCAGTCACGTACGATTCAACAAATTTACGTTGTTGACTATTTCTCGGAATGTCATGCCAGCAAATATATATATTTCACAAATTTTTTTTTTTTTAGAACTGATAACATTAACAGCACGAAAGAAATTCCATTTATATATATACCTACAAATTAAAAAAAAAAAGTTGCAAATTATATATCAAAAAGATTTTTTTAAAATTAATTTCAATTAATTTTTTCAATTTCAATTAATTTATTGAAGTAATTTATTTTTAATTAAATGTTTGGGCAATTAATTTATAGGTAAAAAACAATATCAATATAAAAAGTTTATTACGTATAATTGTAATAATTTTTTAAATTTGTATTCATTAATTAAATTAATTTTTTGATTTAACGTTTTTATTTATTCATAATAATTATATTGACGACAAATTTTCCTCAATAACTTGATTTTTAAATTTTATATTATATTTTATAGTTTTATATATTTGTTATAAATAATTTTAATTAAATGAAATCAAAAGAGATTGAAAAAAATTTTTACCAAAAAAAAGAAGCATTTTAAAAACGACTTTTTCCATATTTTTCTGTAAATTAAAAAAAAAAATCGTTTCTCTATTTTTAAATTGATTTCAAAATTCTCGGCATAAATTATTGAAATGATAAAAATGATTTTATCACTCGGTCGTTTATTAAAGTTTAAGGAAATATAATATTGTATAATTTATAAGGAAATATCGCGGGGAAAAATTTTATTCTAAAAATCGAATGAGTAATTTTTCTAATCTAATTAAAAATAGTAAAAAAAAAAATTCTAAGAAGAAAATATGTCCTAATAAAAGAAGATTTTTAGAATGATTAATTAAATAGTAAAAAAAATTTTTTCTGGAAAGAAAATTTTTAGAATAATAATTAAATAGTAAAAAAAAATTTTTTTTTTGCAAGAAAATATGTTCTAATGAAAGAAATGTTTTTTTTTTTTTTGTTTTAGGCATGTACACCATGCGAATGTTGGACAACAACAGTAGCAATGCATCTGGACCAACTGGAGCTGCTGCACTACCTGGTGTACAAGCGGGTGGTGCACCACCATCGGGTGGAGTGACAACATTACCCTGCGTTACTGATGAAAGAATGGATGCATCAAGTGATAGTGCTGTCAGCAGTATGGGAAGCGAACGAGTTGGATCTGTCTCAGATGGAGAGTGGATGGAAACGGGATCAAATTCTAGCCATACTCAAGCCGATTCTCACTATTCAATGGATTATGCGAGGTAAATTTTTATCTATACCTCATCCCAACAACGCTGATTCACTGATAATAATATTATCAATATTTCCCTTTTGTCTAATGAGATGATAAATTTATTTATTTAATAAATAAAAATTCATAATAAAAATTAAAATTAAAAAAAAATTAAAATAAATTTCACAATGAGAATATAATTTCTATAATTATAATAAAAAAAAAAAATTCATAATTAATTAATAAATTAATTTTTTTTGTTTTGTTATTATTTTACAATATTCCAAAATAATTTGTCCAAAATTTGAAACGAAAAAAATAGACAATTGCAAATTTAATTAAAATTTGTACCAAAAAACAAATTTTTCTAAATTTCAAAAATATTAATTAATATTGTTTCGATCTAGGTTTGATCACTATTTTATTTCTATTAAAATTACGCCTTTTTATATAATAATTTTTTTGAATTTATAATTTTAGAAAATCTTCATTATTTTTAATGGCCAAAAAAGCATTTTGAAAAATATTTTACTAAATTTAAAAGACCAATTATTTTAAAAATATATAATTTAAATATGTTTTTAATAATGTTTTTAAAAAAATGTTCTATTTAAAAAAGAAAATTATTGAAAAATTTTAAAAAGCATATATATGATATAAATAAAATAGTGATAACAAAAACTTTCGAAACATAACAATAATATTTATTTCAAAGAATTCAAGTGAAATTAATTTATAATTTTTTTTTATGTACATATTAAATAAAATAAATAAATTTTGTTCTTTTTTCAGCAAATATCATATGCCATACGATTGTAGTTATGGAAGAAGTGGTAGTTCACCACGTTGTCAAGCTGATCGAAATATGGCCCCACAAAAAAAGCATCAAATGTTTGCTAAACGATACTTCCAGGAACAAGGAACTGGTTAGTATTGTAAATTATTTAATTAAACATTATTTCAATGTTTAAAAATTATTTAATTCCCATATGTTTTTTTTTTTTTTTGCAAAATTAAATTTATAAAAACCAAATAAAATTAAATATTATAGAAAAAGTAACTTACTTAATTTTTTTTTGCAAATACAGGATCGCCTCTTAGTGCCACGGCTCACACGACAACCCCAATGAAATATGAGTACGATTCTCAAACAATTGCTGCTGGTGCACCGGGAAACGCTTATTCTGGACCAATCGAGGGTGCTGCAGGTCCTCAAGCTGAAATTAAATACAGTTGCAGTGTTGATTTTTCACGACATCAATCAGGTAAAAAACAAAATTAATTTTTTTCAACACTTTTTTTCAAAAATTAAGAAAAAAAATTGATGCATAAGTATATTTTCTCTATTAATATAAAAATGAATCGTTTGTTTACTAATTCAAAACTATCACCTAATATTTAATTTTAAACTTCTGTGAACATTACAACACGTTTATGATCAACGACTTGAAAGAAAAACTATTTTTCTATGCAAAATTATTATAATTTTATGTATAAAAAAAAATTGTTATAACGTTTTATAATCAACAGTTTTTTTTTTAAAAAAGAAATTAATTTGCAGGTAAAAAATTTTATTATTTTTTCGGATGAAACAAATATTCTTTTTTAATGAAAAATTCAACGAATTTTCGTCTTAAAAAATATTTTTTGTACTCTTTATTGATCAATAAATTATGAAAAAAATATTTTTTAGACAAAAAAAGGATTTTAATTTCCCATTTTAAAAAATTATTATTTTTTTTTAATTGATCATTAACGTTGTCAACATCATTGACGTAATTTTAAAACATTATATAAATAAAATTTTTTTTCTTCATTTAGGACGATCAGCGATTGAGCATATTCATCACAATCACACGTATCACCTTCCAGCAGAAAGTTCTGGTTCCCTACAACGTCCATTGTCACGTGATAAGAAATGTAATTAATCTTTTTTTCTCAAAAAAAAAAAAAAAATTTATTTTTTTTTAAATTGCAAAAAAATATAAATAATTGTAATTTTTTTTTTACAGTACGAAAACATGAAGACGAACATTTGACCCGCGATGAAAAGCGAGCACGTTCTCTAAATGTACCAATTGCCGTTCACGATATTATCAACTTGCCCATGGACGAATTTAATGAGCGTCTTAGTAAATATGATTTAAGTGAAGCACAATTATCGTTGATTCGCGATATTCGACGAAGAGGCAAAAACAAGGTTGCTGCACAAAATTGTCGTAAACGTAAACTCGATCAAATTATCAGTCTCGCTGATCAAGTTAAAGAAATGCGTGATCGTAAAACGAGACTCATCAAAGAACGAGATTATATGCTTGTTGAAAGACAACGGGTTAAAGAGAAATTCAGTCAACTCTATCGTCACGTTTTTCAGGTTTGTTGATGAAAAATTTATTAAATTAATTTAACTATAATTAATTAATTTACAAGGATGCCACGAGAATAAATTTTTCAATTTTCTAATTATTACCCCGACAAACAAATTTTATTCAATTTAATGAATTATAATAGAAATCTAAAAAAAAAGAAGTTAGAAAAACGCGTTCTTTTTTTTACTATATTTCACTTTTTTTCACTAGAAAATTATTTTTCTTCCATGAAAATAGGAAATTTCGATTTAGGAAATAATAAACAGGCACAATTGTTTTCACTTGTGTAACTTGTAAAATTTGTGTCGGTTTATTATTTTCTAAATCGAAAAAAATTTATATTTAATTATATTAAAGAAAAGAAAAAAATATCGAATTTATTAAATGGTCAATTATTATTTGCCAAAAATAGATGACAAAAATGTGATAAAAAATTGATAGTTAAAAACAAAATAACTAATTTTTATCAATTCAAATTTTTAATAACTGAAATTTTTCATCAATGATTGAAGCATTAATAGTTTTAAATTTGGATAAATTGAATTTTTGATAATTTGAAACTTAAAATTAAAAAAAAAAAATTAGATAAATTGAAATTTTGATAATTTTTAACTAAATCAATTGAAATTCAAAGAATTTGAATTTTAAATCAATTAAAATTTCGATAATTTGAAATTTCTATCAATTAAATTTTGAATATTAATATTTGGACAAATTGAAATTTGGATAATTTCAAAAATAAATCACTTAAAATTTAGACAAATAAAAATTCAAATAATTTGGAACTTAAATCAATTAAAATTTGGATAAATTAAAATTCAGATAATTTAAAATTTAAATCGATTACTATTTATAGATAAATTAAAATTTTAGTAGTTTTTCAGTTTCTATCGATTTTGTATTTTCATTTGCATTTGTTTAAAATTTGAATTAATAAATTTACTTTAAAAAAAAATTGAATTAATTGAAAGTTGGAACTATTGAAATTTAAATTAAAATTTAGATTTAATTGAAATGTTTATGGAATAAATTTTAATTAAATTGAAATTTACATGGAATTAAATTTAATTAATTTAAAAAATGTTATGAATGAAAATTTAAATAAATAAGTGATAAATTTTTAAAATTGTAAAAAGGAAGGTAAAAAATACAGCAATTATATAATAATTGACTTTTTCTTTAAATTTATTCAATTTTCCAAATTTCCCTAACAAAAAAAAATTTTCCCCAACTTTTTTCTTGATTTTCTAATTTGTGGCTATCCTGATTAAATTATTAAATTTTATTATCATTATTATAATAAATGTTCAAAAAATCAGAAGAATACTAACAAAAAAAAAAATTACAATTTTATTTCAGTCGCTACGTGATCAAGATGGAAATCCATATAATCCACACGAATTCACCTTACAACAAACAGCAGATGGAAATGTACTTTTGGTACGTCGAAATCAAACGAATCCCTATCATTCACGTTCATCGACAATGGATCCAAAATCGAAACCCGACGAACGTAAAGAATGAAAGAAGAGACAAAAATAAAAAAAAATAAAAAAAACGAAAAATTATTCTCAAAATGAGATTGATAATCAGAAGAAGTTCAAGGCGCTACTTTTTTAAAAAAAAAATATATAAATACAGCAAACTTGAAAATTCGCGGTGTCATCAGTTTCGTTACATATATATATAAAATATAGTACACGGGGGACATTTATTTTTTAAGAATAATCATTCTTTTAACGAAAAATAAAAAAAAAAACGCGATGCTTTTGCTTTTTATATCTTGTTCAAGTGTTTGCAGTGACAAACACAAGAAAGACAACGATAAGTCCTATTGATTTCTATAAATAGTTTCGTACTAGACAAGGACTTTGGAAATAAAAAAATATCACGAGTTTTAATGTTTATGGTATTCAGGAGGAAGAGTACAAAATATCCTCGAAAATTGGACAATTTTCAAATTTTGCTTCTGAAGAAGATAAAATTTTTTTAAAATACAAATTTGTTATTAAAACATGATTTTCGAGGTATATAAATGAAAATCAATTTTTATTAAAACAAAAAAAAAAGAATACCATTAAAAATTTAAGTTAGAGTAAGAAGAAAATATCTGACATGAATCAGAAATGTTTTAGAAAAATTTGTTAACCCCTCTCCCAGCGAAATATTCGTGAAATAATCGATTTATTATTTCACCTCGCGAAAATGAAAAAAAAAAATCTCTTCTTCCTGTCTTGTGCCTAGACTGTACTCAGAAATAGTGATTTATTAATGAAGGTGTATATTTTCTAAGAAAATAACACCATCTTTTTCCTTAAGAGCCTAGCTCATTGGAGGTGAAAATAAAACGAAGAAAAATGAAAAAAAAAAAAAAAAAAAAAAAATGTAACAAATGCCTGTCACATTTCAATAAAATTTGTCGAAACAATAATTATGTCACAAATGCATTAAAATGTGATTATAAAAAATTTAATTGCGACTAAAAATCTTGCATACACATGTATAATCGTTGTATAAAAAATTACTATGTTTAATATAATTCTTCATTTTAAAACGTGATTTAATATTAATAATAATAATAATAATAATAAAAAGGAAAAAGAAAAGTTATTTCTAAAGGGTAGCTTTTGTTCTACCTTTTAAACGATAAAACCAGTGTCAAGAATAAACATAAATTAACCTGAACTTAAATAAGAAACTGGGGAGAAAAGAAAAATATAGAACATTATATTTATCGAATAGAAATCATTTAAATAATATTTAACGCATCAAATTTGCAAAATCCTTTCTTTTTCGAAAAAAATTTTTAAAAAATGCGTTTTATAAAATTTAAATAGTTTCTATAACAAAAATGTTTATTTTTTGTTTAATAAAAGGCAAATGCTTGAGTTATTGCCTATGGGAACGTTGTATTTGATAATTATGAAAGATTTTTTTTTTTTTGTTATTTTTTTCGAACAGTATAAGTACACTCAGGCAAGATAAGTTACATAATATAAAATAAGACTAGAATTTAATTGCAACAATGTGAATATATATATATATATATATATATATATATATATATATATATATATATTTGCTGCAATTCATATATTTCTACAATATTAATCAATAGTATTAATATTGCGATATAAAAAATGAACAAAATGTTATATAAATAAACATATTTTTTTAAAAATAATAAAAATCGTTCAGGTATTTCACATTTGCCTTTTTGTGTATATATTGATGTAGGTAGTATAATTTTCTATAAATATTACACATGTAAAAAAAAAAAAAATCGAAGTGATTAGTTGATATAAATAAGAAAAAAATATTACGTATAAAAAAAAATTATTAAAAACTAATTATTATTATTATTATAATGCTACAAAATAAATATTAAAAAAAAAAAAAAAAAAAAAAAAATGGAAAAAAGGAAAAGATATTCATACTACATTGGGTGTAGGATGCCTTTTGTGTATACCATATACTCGACGTGCAGAAATTCTATATATTAAATAATACATTTTAGCTTGTTTCGATATTTGAAAATAAAATGTGAAAGAATGTTTGTATTACCCAGACATTTTTTTTTTTAGATCACGCGCGTCATTCAATTTCTATAATATTGTATAAACGAATTTCAAATAAAATTGTGAGGGAAAAAAAAAACTCCATTGTTCATGCATTTGCGAAATAACAATTTTCAACTTCTATATGTACTTTTTAAAATTCATCATTTCTATATAACAAACCGTCCTTAATAAATTTATTCTATGCAAAGGGTTAAATTGTGTGTGTGTAAAATTATTTTAAATATAGTTTTATCAATTATTGCGAGACATAAAATTATAACTTACATAAATATTAATTTATATTAATTAAGAATATAAAATATTTCAAATAATAATAAATAAATAATCTTAAATAATAAAGTTAAATAAATTTAATAATTTAACATTTAAAAATAAAATTATATTAAAAAAAAAGATAGTTGAAGTTCTTGTAAACTGAAATTTATAAAAAAATAAAAAACAGCAGGCTTCGAAGTGACACACTTTTTTACTTTTTTGATACTTTTTTTCGACAAGGCTATTTTTTTCTACTAATTTCGGTCAAATGCTATTTTAAAAAAAAAAAATAATTTTAAAAATAACAGAATTCAAGAATTTTAAATTTTAGCGAATTTTTTAATTCCTAAAAGCTCGCCAAGTTGATGATTTATTATTGGCCTTAACTACTGCTTTATATAATTATTTTTTACACGAATTTTCATTTTTCAAAATAGCATTTAACATCATTTCTTTTTAAACGACCTTTTACTCACGGAAAAAAAGAAAAAGTAATTTTTACTACTTTCATATAGTAAAATGGGATCTGTCCGAAGTTTCTGCGCATCTATGGCAACTTTTACTCCAAAAATAGTAAAATTTGCTCCAGAAATAGTAAAATTTACTCCAGAAATAGTAAAAATTATTACAAAAATAGTAAATTTTATTATTTTTGGAGTAAAAGTTGCCATAGATGCGCAAAAACTTCGGACAGGTCCAATTTTACTATGAAAGTAGTAAAAATTACTTTTTCTTTTTTTCCGTGCTCAATAGAATTTTTAATTTGAAAAAATTTTTTTTGACAAAATTTTTATTTTATTATACAAAATTTCTCTTTACTCAACAGTTTTTTTTTTTAAATAATTCTAAATTAACCGAAATTCAGACAATAATTGAATTTTAGAGTATTTTGAATTGAAAAATGGTTTAAATAATTAAAATGCCAAGATCTTGATTAAAATTATTAGAAATAATTATTTCAACAAAAAATTTAAATCAAAATTTTTAATAATGATTGAATTTCAAGAGATTTTGAATTAAAATTTTTGTAAATTAAAATTGCTAAAAATTATTAACAAAGTTTCCAACATTAATTGAATTTTAGAGAATTTTTAATTAAAAAATGTTTTATTTAATTGAATTTTTGAATAATTGGATTGAAATTATTAATTTAGCAAAAAATTTTATAAACAAATATTAAAAATAATTCATTTTCGGTACTTTGAAAATTCCATTGAGTAAACATTCGTTTGAAAAAAATCTGTATATTAAATTTTATTTTGTAAAATAAAAATTTGTGTGGAATATCATTTTTATGAAATAATTATACACTCCTACCGTTGTGCCAAAAAACAAAAAGTTAATCGACATTTAACAATAGATATTTTTTTTTTTTTTTTAAATAATCATGAGAAAAATGATGTTAATTTTATTCCTCAGAATTTTTCTTTCAATTTTTTTTAGACAAGAAAATATTTACACTTTGACGTCAAACTTAGAAAACTAATTTTACATGAGCCAACATTTTTGAACGTTTAAATGAACAAAATATTTTTTCAATCTATAAATTATTAAAAATTATAATGTCAGTGTAAAATAAAACAGTAAATTTAACAAATATTAAATTAATAACTTCTTTTTAGATATTTAAAACAATATTTTGTAATAAAATTCGTACTTAAAAAAGTTGAAAAAAAAATTTTGCTCATTTGAACGTTCAAACATTTTGACTCATAATTTTACTTCATTTTAAAGATGCCATTATTTTTATACTTTTTTTAATTTTTTTTTGCTCAGTAATATTTACTCAGAATCCGATAATCGCAATTAACCGGGTGAACATCAAAAACCGGTCAAATTTTTATTGTTCACCCATAACCTCACTTTTTAGTAACGAAAATAATTCATAATTATAACTATTTTTATCCACAATAATCAACTTTTTCGTAGTATAATTATAAGATATAAAATCTCAAATGAAATTCAAGATTTTTTTATAAATTATATTGTTGCCATGCAATAATATGCAGAGCTGTGAGGATATTTTGTACACAAATCAAATGCAGATATTTTTCAATAAAAATAATAACAAGTTATTAATTTACCTTTAATACTTAACAAAAAGTGTAAGTTTTTGGTATGACAATTTTTTAATAATAAATATTACTTCCAAATAATGTTATTTGCACATATTCACTTAAAAATAAACTTAACGAGTTAACCGAACTTGGCACGTGCGCTGTGCACGGGAATCAACATTAAGGGCGCATTCACACCTCTGGCTGCCTGCACAGGCAGCCAGTGAGAGCCAATCAGAGAGTCAGTAGTAGATTTATTTGTTCGGAAAATTTAAATTATTTGGCGCAATTTTAATTTCAATTTCAAATTTCAAATGCTTAATAAATTTTAATATTGTCAATAAAACAGAGTTAAATTAATGTTTTTTGGCTTAGAAAAAGAAAATTTTTAATAATAAATATTAAAAATTTTTCCTAGTATTTTTAGAAATATATTCATATTTTAAATTATATTGATCATTAGAGTAAATTCCTAAACATTTTGTTTTATAATACTTGTAATAATTAAATATTTATAAATCGTTCACTTACTTGTCAATTGATAAAATTACATATAATTTGATAATTGTACTCCGAATTTATAAATAATATCATTACAGTAAATTTGTCCGGGCCGAAGAATAGAACAAGGAAAATGAGGCTGAAAAATATTTATAAAAAAATATTTTTAAAAAAAAGTAAAATATTAAAAATTCATTTTTTTAAAAATAATATATAATTCCCTTACGATATTAATAGCATTGGGATAATTTTGAGGTTGTATACTGAAAGCACAAAATTTTTTATAACGAGCACCATTCTTGCCTGGTATAAATTCAAGATTTTTAATTAATGATATTTTATCATTCTCAAATTCGATTTGACTTATTTTCTCATCTTCGAAATTATTCTCTGAATTTATTTCACCACTTTCTTTATCATTTATCGTTAATGTAGAATTTATATTCTCCTAAAAAAGAATTCATTTTTAAAATTTTATATAATAATTTTTTTTTTAAATCGTTTTTTCATATTTTTTTTGCTTTATCGCTAACCATTTTTGATTTGATAGATTTAGAATCAAGAGATTTTTCTTCACATGAATAAGGAGGTAGACGACCACCTGTGTTAAATTGAACTCCCGGTTGATCGGAATAAATTTCTAAAAATCTGTATTTATAATAATAATTATAATAATATTTAAAGAAGATTAAAATTATTTTTTATAAGTAATTTTTAATAAAATAAAATATATCAAAATATATATTTGTACCTTCCAGTTTTTTCATGTAAAACTCTTGCGACAAATGAAGGTCCAAATTGACTACTTTTGAGAACACAAAAATTATGATCATATCCTTGACCATCGGGAATCTATTGGCGTAAAAATATAATTTTTTTTTTTTAATTTGAAAAATTAATTTAACAATTTTTTTTCTCGATAAAAATTACAGGGATCACAGTGAATTGAAATTTTGATAATTTTAAATTAAATCAATTAAAATTTAGTGAAATTGAGTAAAATAATTAAATAAAAATTTGAACGAATTTATTTATTTATATATTTTACATCAAAATTTGGAAAATTAAAAAAAAAAATCAATAAAAATTTGAATAAATTAATATTCAGATAATTTAAAATATTTAAATCAAATGAAATTTCAATAATTTTAAGTCTCAATTTATTGAATTTGTATTTGGATTAAAATTTTTAAAATTTATTTAGATTAGTAAAAATTTAAATTTATTAACAATTAGATCACTTGAAATTCAAAAATTTAGATTAACTTTGAAAATTGTAACGAATAAAATATAATTCAATTGAAATTTAGATAAAATTAAAATTTGTATAGATATTTTTTGGATAAATTGAATTTTGAATTGATTAAAGTCGCAATTGAATAATTTATAGAAAAGATGGAAATCTGTAATCCCTGAAATTATATATAGTATTTTTTACATTAAACATAATATTTCCCAAAAGTTGAGGAATTCGAAGATCCATAACAGTTCCACCAACTCCACGAATGGCACCCAATGGTACAGGATCCGAAAAATCAGCAAACGTCCAACGATCACAATTTAATGATATTTTGTGATTTTTTAATTCACTTTCACCAGCATCCTATTTGTCGAATTTAAATTAATTTTTTTGTTTTTTGATAGTATGAAAAATATGGCCAAAAAATAATTATAATAATGAATAATTTAATAATAAATATTTTCAGGACTTTAAATAATTACAAATAAAAAATTTTTAAAGGTCTCGAAATATTTATTAACAAATTTTAAAAAACAATTCGAAAAAAAATGAATAAATATAAATAATTTAGTTAATTATAATAAATAAATTAAATTTTTAATTTCACTTGATTTTGAAATTACTTACGTGGCCAGCAAGATTAAAATAAGAAGCTGACGACAAATTGACAATTGTAGATTTTGTTGTTGTTGCTCGAATAGAAATTTCCAATTTATTATCAAATTTCAATGTAAATCGAACAGTGACTAATAATGCTCCTGGATAACCTTCTTCAAAATCGTCACTTAAATAACTCATAACAACACTGCAACCATCAATATGAGAATTCCATAATTGACGGCCAAATCCATTTACCTGGAAATTTTAAACAAAAATAAAGAAAATCATTGTAAAATAAAAAAAAAAAAGAAACAAACCATTAAAATAAATTTTCAAAAAAAAAAAAACATAATCTTATCATTACCCCACCATGAAGATGATTTTTATTTTCATCATTTTTAGATAACTGATATTCTTTTCCTCTAATAGTAAATGAACCATTTTTTATGCGATTACAATATCTTCCAAGAATACATCCAATGTACTGATTAATAACAGGATCTATATAGCCTTATTTTGAACAAAAAAAAAAAAATCAATAAAATTATTTTTGAAGAATAATCGAAAAGAAAAACTAAATTATTTTCATTCGAATTTTTTTTTAATAATTTTTTTTCTAAAAAAAATTTTTAAAAGCTAATTAGTTTGCATTCAGAAGAAATTTGTTTTTAAAAATTGAATACATTAATTAATTCACACTATTAATTTTCTAGCATATACAAAAATAAATAATAATAATAATAATATTATTAAAATTCAAAATTTTCGATTCAGTTGCCGTAATTTTCACCAGAAAACAGTAAAATCGGTTCAAAATTGTTTTTTTTAACCTAAAATTAATAAAAAAAAAAAATTAATAAAAAAAATTAAAGTTGAGAAAAGAAATGTTTTATAATAATTAAATTTTTTTTTAATTTTATGTTTATAGTTTGAAAGAATATAAAAATATAAAGCTTATTTTTTATAATTCAGTACCTTAGGTATGTTCAAATCAAATTTTTTATTATTTTTTCAAAATTGTGACAGTATTTTTGATAAATTTTTCGAAAATGAAAAAAATACTGTTTACTGATAAAAGTATAAAAAATTGAAAAATCATTTTGTTTTTTCTTAAAAAATAAATAATCTGAATAAATTAATAAATAAATCATGTCAATAATTTGGAAAAAAAAAATTTACTACATACTTTCTATGTCATCAAATCCAAGAACAATGTCAGCAGTTCTACCAAATTTATCTGGACATTTTAATGATACAATTGTCGCGCCCCAAGAAATTAAAACAACTTCCATTCGATTACAATTTGTCATTGTGTAAGATTTAATTTTTACTCCTCCTTGTTGTGATTGATCTCCTTCACCACATTGGGATAATGATTCCTCCAATTCAAATTGATTTTGTACTGACGATTTTAAAGATACTTTCGATGTACTTTCTATAATAATTATATAAAAAAAAAAAAATTCATACCATAATGACAGTAAAAATATCAAAGAAATAGAAAATTAAAAAAAGGTTATATATCTTTAAATAATTCATTTTTTTTTCACAAATACAATATTTTTCATACCTGCAAATATTTCACCGAAAATTCCTTCAACAATAACAACATCTTTACAATTACAATTATCAGTAGACATTATAACAAAAAAATTTTCCAATTTCTAAATTTCTGTAAAAAAAAAAAAAAAATGAAAAAAAAAGAATATTTCTTTTCTAACACTTTCCATTGTTTAATATCGAAAAAAATTAAATTCTTTTAATTTATATTTAATTTTAATGTATAATTTAATAATATTTAAATATTTTTAATGAAAGCTATTATTATTTATTTATCGAATAATACTTTTTTTTCACAAAAATGATCATAAAAATTATATAATTAAATATAGAAATTTTTCTTACAATAATTGGTCTCATATCCATTTTTTTTTGTGTATTCGAAATTGTTTATTAATAACGCGTAGTCTACAATTGATGATTTTTAATGTTACAATAATGATTTATTTATATATATATATATATATATTTTTATGTTCATATAATTTTCGATACTATTTATACTTTGTATAATTAATATTTATAGTTTAATGTACAATACTTGAAAAAATACATGAATTTTTTCGTGCAGGTCAGACAGCGCGAATCAACGTTTTATTTTATTTTTTTTTCGATTATTATTCATATTTTTGAAAAATTGAGACGAAAAAGAAAAAAATCTATCGATTCTATACGTTAAAATTAGAAACTCTAGATATAGTTTCTTTTTCTGTAATATAATATTTTTATTTTTCGTTAATAAAAATTCATCACATTTAATAATATTATCGTGTTCACAGACACACACTGACAAGGCCAACCTGTGCTAATAAAAGTTATTTCATTTTTATTATTATTACAAAAAAAGAGAAATTTACATTTTTTTTTTCTTAAATCAATTTTCTACAATAAAAAAAAAAAAAGAAAATAATAGCTGTCGGCCCTGCATCACAATGTTTTTAAGGCGCATGCCAAAGCAGTCACATTTTTTTTTTTTTTGTTTTGTTTTTTTTTTAAATACACGGAACACATTGCACTTAGCAGTTTAATATTAATCTTAAGCCTAATGAGTCGTTATAAATTTGATTCCTTAATTAGATCGACTGTTGTCTGTGAATACACGGCTATACAATTTTTGTCTTATAAAGACATTTTTCTCATTCGTTAATGATGATGTTTACTCAGATTCAATTTTTTTTTTTTTTTATTATATCATAATTTCAATTTATACAAAATACTGTCGACAAAAATCTCCATCCATTGTATTAAAAAACAATTTAAATATGAGTCATTCATCTCCTTTTTTTTAACAATTTCAAGAAAATTTGAAAAAATTTTCAAATTAAATAAAAATTAAAGATTATTTAAAATATTTTAATAAAATAATAATTATCAATTTTGTAGAATTTCTATTCAAGAGCAAAATATTATGAAAAATATTTTTAAAAAATGGTATAAAACAAAAAAAAATGACTCACATTTAAAATTTAAATACATTTTTCTCAATTTCTCTCTCAATATTTAAAAAAAAGTTGAAAACGCTTCTAACTTAAATTTTCATTTTTAAAAAAATGATAAATTTTTTTTTACATGGATGTGAAATCGTGTGATCAATATCAATTGCACTGGTAAAAAATTGCATTTTTTTTTTTTTTTTTTTTTTTTAATATAGAAAACTTATTATTTTAAATATATTCCAATTTCAACTAAATTTTTTTCTTTTAAAGATTGTATTAAAAAATAAAACCTTAAATTACTAAATGACTAGGGTTATACAATAAACCAAAAATTCACTTTAACTCCATTTTATGTATATCTAAATATGACTAACATGGAAAAAAAAATGCTACATCACATTATTTCACATCCAAAAATTATGCTGCACAAAAGATATTTTTAAAATTATTTTTATAGCAAAAAAAAATTTTTTTTTCATTTTTTGACGAATTTCAATTTATTATTAAATAGAAAATTTTTATTTAATATTAAATAAGTCAAAGTTTATTATTTAATATTAAAGTAATGGACCAAAACATTTTCGTTCAACTTCTTTTACAATTTTCCTTTTTTTTTCATCGACAAATTTTTAAAATACTTTTTTTTATTATTCTCAGCAATCAAGCGTAGGGGGTTTTTAAAATTTTGTATTATTTTCAAAAAATCAAATTTCTAAACATTCAATTAAAAAAAAAAAAATTGTTTAAACCAAAAATTACTTTTTTTCAATTTTTTCTAATAATTTCGAATGGTTCGAAAGAAGGTTGAACAAAAAAATTGACAATTTTACATAATGTAAATTTGAATTAATTGAAATTTCATTTTTTTTTTTTATGATTTTGAACAATTCAGTATTATAAGAAATTTTAATTTTTTTCAAAAATAAAAATTCTAAAATGATAAATTTTTTTTCTTTTAATTTAATTATAAAACATTTTTAGATTTTAAACAATTCTAAATAAAGTATGAAAAAAAATTGTCGTCTTTTTACATTGGAAATTTGAATTTGAAACTTTCAGTGATGTCTCTTTCTTTTATTAGCGAAATTTTTATTTAATATTAAATAGAAATTTTTTTTTTTTAATGCAATTATTGTACAGAAAAAATTTTTAATTTTCAAATAGAATAAAATTTAATATTAAAAATTCAATTTTTTCGTTGAATTTGGTGTTTTCAATTTAAAAGCTTTTTTTTCTACTCTCAATATACAATATAAATGTATGAGAGAATCACATTTTTTTTTTATCGTAGATTCAACACCTATCTTCACATTTGGTCAAAAATTGTAAAAAATACATTAAATATAAATATGTATGAAAAAAATGAATATATGTAAAAGTGTTTTATTGTTTTTTTTTTTTCAATTCTGAAATTGTTATATATATGTGGATATGTTAAAGCGAATATCTATACGAAACAATGTTACATATTTTATCCAGTAAAAGTTTTTTTTTTTCAAATAGTGTTGATTACATTTTTTTTTTTTTTTTTTGTTTTTATTTCCTAAAAATTATTATCATTCGTTCATTTTCTCATTTTCTACATTTTTATTGATTTGTCAATAGGTGTTAAAATCAATTGCAAAACTAGACTCGCACTATATGTTTATAACGTAATCAAATTATGATTTTTTTTATATATATAGGTATATATAAATTTTTTTTTGATAATATTTATAAAATAAATATAGCTTAGACTAGCACTGTCGGCGTTGATGCGCCATTACACATTCCGTACTTAGCCCATAATTGCTGAGTATTGTTTACAGAATAATTAAATTATTACTATTAACAATTAGTAATGGTTACTACTAATAATTAAACAATTTTTTTCCTTTCTCTCCCTCTCTCTCTTTCTTTCTTTTTAAGACAATCTTCAAATAGTCTTGGAAGCATTTTGAATTTTTTTTTTATTTTTTATTTTCCTCACCTAGACTTTATTAATACGTGATACTAGCACCACAGAATATTTCTTTGTCTGATTCAGAAAGGTAAACCCAATTAATTTAGCAAAAATTAATTAATTATGATTTTTTAAAATAATTTTCCGAAATTTTTTTTCATAATATAAAAAAAAAATAAATAAATAAAAATAATAAACTTTTATAAATTTTTATAAAAATTGAATAAAAAAAAATTGTTTTCATATTTTTTTAAACAAAAACAAGAAGGGTTTACATTTCTATTATTATTCTGTTGTTTTTATACGCACTATCAATATAAATCACTCTTTATCGAAGAGTATTCGACAAACAAAACAAAAAACTATATAATGAACGAAAAAAAAAAATATAGGAATGAATCAATGAAAATTTTACAATCGTTTAAAAGTGGGCCTCTAAGACGACAAATAAATACAATATAAATAAGAATTAAAGAAAAAAAAAAACAAAAAAAAAAATATAAGTACTTATATAATTATTTATGAGTAAGTACGTTTTAGTGACGTTGAGGAACAAAATTGAAATTCATATTTAAATATCTATATATATATATATATGATGCCAAATTGGAGACCATATTCAACTAATATGTACAATTATGGTCCACATTTACAATACTGATGATTATTTAGAAAAAAAAAAAAAATGCAGTTCGAAAAAAATTCTTAAAAGAAAAAAAAATATATGGCAAACTGGTTGGTTTTCTTTTTATTTTTTTTTAATAAAAGGAAAAGAAAAGCTTTTGATTTTTGTTTGTTTGATTTACCCTCTCGCGGTACATAAATGTTCGTTACTATATATGGAGAAAATTTCCAAATAAAATGAAAATTCTCCCAAAGACGCATTTCGTAAAATTTTTTTTTTTTTTTATCGAAAAATGGAAAATCAATTCACTGGGAATGTAAGAGTCTTAAATACTTATTTCAAAACACAGTGGTTTGTCTTTTATATATATACAACATTAAAATCTATTCTCTAAAATTTGTTAAATATTTTGAAAAAAGGTACATTCTCTTTTATTTGAAAAAGCTATAGTTTAACGACAAATTTTATATCGACTTAAATTTCATTTTTTTTTCCCAAAAAGAAAAAAAATAATAGTGAAGGTAATTTATATTTATTTCTATTTTTATTATAAATTTTTTTTTAAACTTTACAAAAAATTTAAAAAAATTATTTTCATTCATTTTTAATTTGTAATAGTAAATTAATTTAATCAATTTAAAAAATAATTGCAGTGACAGTTAAAATAAAAAATTAGTCCAATTTCATAATTTCGTATTTTTAAATATAATAGAATAATTTTTTAATTTTAATTTTTTAATTAAATACACTTGTCTTGAAAGACTTTTAAATTTGTTTTTTTTTTTTTTTTTATTAAAAGATATTCAAAAATTTTTTAGTTGAACTAATTTTTGTTCCAATTTTTTGTTTTTTCAATTTTTTTTTACAAAAACATAATTTTAAACTAAAAATACTTTTATATGATTGGAAAAGAAACAATAATATACATTACCTAATTTTAATAAACCTATTTTGGAAAAACTATTTATAAGATTCTAAAAATCAATTCCTTCGAATCAAGAAATTAATATTAATTAGAATTGTAATTTTTAAAATTGCTTTTAATGATTTCGTTCAAAATATATTTAGTATTAATATTCATAATATTATTATATTAATAAATTATTATATAAGTAAATAAAGGTTTTATGACAATTTTTTACAACTTTTACATCAGTTTTTCCATCCAGTAATAATAATAATAATTGTAAAATAATTTCGTTTACAGATTATAAACTATAATTATTAAAAATATAATTTATATTTATAAAAAAAAGTCTTAAAAAATTTTAAACACAAAAAAAATGAATTATTAATTTAATGGAAGTTTTAAGTAAATAAAAAATAAACTCAACTTTATAATTAAAAAAAAATAATAATTTACATTTTCAAACTGTAATGTAAACTTGAAAAGCTTCTGTTTTTATTTATTGTTTATTTTATTATTTATTGCTTATATAAATAAACTGACAAACTGTGGTGAAAAATTGGCATAAAATTTTCATTTATTATTATAATTCATATTATTGTTTTATTTTCTCAATAAAAGCGTTTTTAATTTTTTTTTGTGTATCTGATATTGAACTTTAAAAATATAATTTTTCCATTAACTGGAAATGATATTTAATAAATTTTTACCTTTTTTTAAAATTTATAATTTATAAATTATTTAAATTATTTATTTTTTATTTATTTATAAAATTTAAAATTTATCACAAATTTTCTCTCTTGAAAATAAAAATACTCAATTTCAGTCGATATAATCATTAGATCGCTTTTAAAATGTACAAGATCTGCGTGGAATCGAGAAAGTCTAAAATTGATTTTCAAGTTATGATTCATTTTCTACTGTACAACATCAGTTTTTGCAAAAGAAAAAGAAAAATGAAATTTGCAACTTGACAAAATTTCTCTCGATAGGTACAAATGAGAAAAATCAGTTCAAAATCGAGACTTGAATTTTCAGTTCGATTTGAACAAAAAAAAAAAATTTCATTATTATATCTAAAAACAACAATAAGTACTTTAAAACACAGCTATCATTCTTGAAAAGAAGAATGATTTTTTTTTCTCACGGAATCTATATGCGGGAATGTAGTTTCGTTGTTGACAAAAAAGGAGATAAATACACAATAATAAGGAATAATAAAATGAAGTCCTGGCATGAGAAATGCACTATTTTGGAATTATTCTTTTTTTTCCTTTGGATATATTATTTTGGAATGTTGTGTGAATAAAAAATAAATGAATCTTAAGAGAGTGTTAAAATAAAAAAAAATTAATATTCATAATCAAATTCATTTAAGCTCGTTTTTTTTATATAAGATTTGCCAAAAAAATATTTTCATCACTTGTTGAGAAATGCTTGCCAGAAAAAAGCAAGAAATATCAAAAGGATAAATATTACAATGGCAGTGAATTCGGTTCACTTTGAGGTCATTATTTCTTTTTTTTTTTTTTCTCTCTCTCTCTCTCTAGAATGATTTACGGAATTTATTATATTTTATTAATAATTAATAGTTGAGCGCAAAAAAGAAATTTCAGTAATATTAGATTTTCAATATTTATTTTTTAAAGGAATAAATAATAAATATTGAAATTTTAAAGGCGCGTAAATTTTTTGTTTTTTCTACTAAGATCACTGAAATTTCTATTAAAAGATCTCAATTATATTATGAATTTTATTCTTTCTCTTCTTACCTTTAAATAAGCCAGTGCTATGACAAGAATTCCCTCTCCAATTCTGAAATACTAGGTTTTCGATTTCGACTAATTCTATTACGATTCACTTGCAATGGTATTGTGATATCTTGATTTTGTCCATGTACAGGAATATCCAATATTGTTTCACGATGTTCACGTGATGATGAAATATTATCTCTATCAAATGTAACAGGTGAAAAACGTACTCTTCCTATTGATATTTGACTATCTTTTGCTGATACATAACTTGAATCTTCCGATGTTAATGAATCAGGTGGCGTTGGATTTGTCGGTGTTCCTGAGCCAGAATTATTTTTACTTGCAGTCTTATTTGGCGAATTATATGAATAATTGGAACGTTTTAAACTTGATCTTAATCTTGTGACAACTTCTAAATTAGCCGGTCGTTCACCACCTGAATTTGTACTTGATTCATGTGAATTTTGCCTCGATAAATATTGAAAACCATAATCATGATTTAATAGATTTGAACTATAATTTGTAATATTTGAATTATTACTGTGTCGATAATAATGGCTAGGTGAATATAGTGAATAATCTGATTCATCATCAAGACGAAATGTTGGATTCACATTACTTTGGCTTGATGTACTTGCATTCGAGACATTTGACGATGTACGATGATGTGTGTATGATGGTAATCGTGGACTTGGTCTTGCCGAGCTACTTATACTGCTGGGATTGTCGTACGCGTGTGGAAAATCCGTACATTCCAACATTCTATCGCTGGAAAATTTTTGTTTTATTCAATTATTTAAATAATTTTCATTTATTGATTTTGAAGAAATAAAATTTATTTCTTTTAAGTTCAAATTTTGTGAATAATTTATGCTTTCAAATAGTTTCAATTGTGCTATTATTATGAAAAAAAAAGAGTGATGTAGTAAATATTTTTTTGATTTAAACGAAAATTAATATACTGTGAAAATAAAAAAAAAAAAAAAAAAAAAGATAATACTCACTGATATTCTGAAGGCGGAAAATAACCAGTTTCTGAAGATCGATAATATTCTGGTGCAACAAGGGGATACATTGGTTGTCCATAATCAGGTAAAAGATTACTTCCCATATATCCTGTTGGTGTTCTTTCAATCCTCGCAACTTCCGAAGAATAGTTTTCATCGTTACTCGTGCTAGAACTTTTTCTCCTCGGACTTGGTGTTGGTGCATTCGAACCAGTGCTATTTGTATAATGTTGAGGAGAATCCGTGAATCTTAATGGTTTATCGGATAACATTGACGGTGGCAATCCTGGCGCTATACCTCCCATATTACTCAAAAATGGCCTGAAAAAATAATTATTATTACCTTAAAAAAAAAAATTTAGAAATTAATTATTATATCTGTTCTATTTTTGTTTATTTTATAATAAATTAGGTATAAAATTTTAAAAATTTCAATGAAATTCTTTTAAAAATTCAATTATTTTGTAAAAATTTAATTATTTTAAATTCTTTGAATTAAATATCTTCGAAAACTGAATTATTAAAAAAAATTAATTTAAAGTATTTTAAAATTAATGTCAAAACTTTCATTTTATTGTAACTTATCAAAAATTTAATTATTTTTAATACCTGTATCTATACAATTATAATTTACAAAAAATTTTAATTAAAACTCTTCTCAAATTTTATCATTTTAAGAAATTTTAATTACCTTAATTTAATCATTTTTAACAATTTCCAAATTTATTTTAAAAATTTCAAATTACATTATAATTCAATATATAATTTAAAAATTAAAAATATTGCTTTTAACACATTAATTTTAATTTCTAGAGAATTAATTTAATTTAAAAAAATTGTATTTATTAATTTTTCCAAAAATTTAATTATTATTATTGAAAAAAAAAATTGATCGCATTCCTTCGAAATATCAATTATTTTCATATCTTTTTATAGCCGTTCTAGAATCTAAATTAATTTTTTTTTGAATAATTCCTACAAACTTTTTCATATATTCAAATATTTTCAATTAAAAATCTTTTAAAAATTTAATTTTTCAATAAAAATTTAATGTAACTAATTCAAAAAAAAATTTAACTTAAATTCTTCGACAAAATGATCATTTTTTAATAACATTTTTCGAAAATTTAATTATTTAAAACAAAAATTTCAATTAAAAATTCTCTAAAACAAGAATTCTCAATTTTCAATTATTTTTAAAAATTTGTAAACAATTTTTAGCAATTCAATGAATATTTCTTGATATTTAATTAATTTTGAAAATTTTAACTTAATTGTATTTATGAATTTTTTATATAAACTTCTTCACAAATCAAATATTTTTAATAATTTTTAAATACAGTTTTTGAAAAATTAACGTATTTAAAGAATTTTGAAATTAACAATTCACAAAAATTCAATTACTATCTGAAATTTTCAAATAAAATCTTCAGCAATTCAAATTCAAATTCAAATATTTATATTAGTAATCATACTAAAAATTAATTAAAGTTAAATTATGAATTTGAATGAATTTTATAGACAAATAATATTTTAACATTCACATTTAATTCCTTAGATTTTGAATTTTTCCGCAAAAGTTGGAATTTTTTATGTTAACGGAAATATTTATACAATTTCAAAATATTTAAATATTTTAGAAAAATTCAAAAAAAATTCAAGCATTTGTTTTATATAAAAAAAAGTGTTGAAATAAATAAATAATCTCAGTTCATTTAATGTTAATAAATTAAAATTTTAAAAATTAAATACAAAATTTGTTATACTTTTTTGTTTTTTTTTTCTAATTTTAAAATGGAAAATTTTGAAAAATCAAATTTTCTCAATAACATACCTGTAATGTCGTGCAGGTCCATGATAAGTATTATGAGGATAACCACTTGTCGAACTAAATTCATATTCAGGACCCAAATAACCGGAATTTCGATTAGAACCACCGCTTTCAGCTGGAAACCACCATCTCGACGATTCATCCTCATCATTTAAATTTGGCTGCAATCGTGGATGAATTGGAGAAATATTTGACATTCGAATATCATATCCAGCAGCAGTCCAACCAAGTAATGCAGCTACATTATAAAGTGCCAATTCAATGATATTTAATTTTGGCCTTTTATTCTCGCCATTATATAATGTCGGCAATGGTATTGGCATTGGCATAATATAGGGTCCAGTTAAACCAGGCTTTACTGGATATTCCGTTGGCATCCATTCACTCGATATATCCGATTGTACTCCTGAATAATCTAAAAACAAAAACAATAAGTGTTTGCAAAAAAAAACAAAAAAAATTAATGATATACTCTTTTACGAGCAAAAAAGCATGAGATGAATAAGATAAAAATATCAAAACAATTTCATTATTATTTTTTTTTTACGAAAACATTAAAATGAAAGGAATTAAAAAAACTATAATATCTATTATCGAATTTTTTTCTAATTCAAAATCGTTGCATGCATATATAAATTAGACAAAAACTATATAGTGCCACAATAACTATTTTTTTCTAATGAAAAATTTTATTTCATAACATGAAGTTTATTTATTAAAATTTCATCTTACCTGTCATCGGAAGGGAAATATTTTTCGATCTAGTAAATTGACTATATTGTTGGTTACAAAAATAAATAAATAAAAAAAATTATTCTTGGTGATTATGCAACGGATGCAAAAGGAGGTGATCATCGTGATATATTTATATTTATATAGGGAAACTCAAATGACAAGAAAGAAAAATATAATTTGAAGATGTCAATTTCTATTCTTTTTCTGAATATTAGTATCTATTTAAAAAAAAGAAGTTATTTTTATTATAACGAAAATTTGATTAATCTAGCCACACCAAGAAAAAAAGGATCATGCTAAATAACTCATTATAAAAATTAAATTCTCTTCAGAAAAACAAATTTAAATTAAAAATATTTTTTGTTTCACAATTTTTAGTTTCGATATTTCGTTAGTTTAACAAATAATTAGTCATTCAATATTATTACTTTTTATCAAATTATTATTAACATCGAAGTAAATTTTACTACACTGAAAAAAAAATTTATTTGATTCAAATACCGGTGTATTTAGTTATTATCAAATAAATATTTACTTGAATCAAATAAATGGTATTTGCTTCAAATACTGAAATATTTAATTCAAATATTATATATTTGATTCAAGTAAATATTTATTTGATTCAAATACACCGGTATTTGAATCAAATAAATTTTTTTTTTCAGTGTATTATTACTTGACATAAATACACAAAATAGTAGTTAAAAAAAAAATTAACACAAAAATTGAAAAAAGATTTTAAAAAAATTTTTTGATGAGAATTTATAAATTAGGGAAAAAAATGTAATTGAACAAATTTTCACTAAATATTGTATGGTTAGTAACATTCAACATTAATAAAAAAGAATCAGGTAAAAGTAATTTACAAAATAATAGAAGCACAAAGAATATAAAAATAATGTCATTTAAATACAAAATGCAAAGTTCACTGTAATTAAGAAGCATTCATTCTAAATTAAATAATAAATACAGAAAGAGATAAAAAAAAACATGAAATTTTGTAATTAAAATAAAAAAAAAACTGAAAAATAATAATAAGAGTTAGTGGAAACTAAGAAATAGTAAGAAAATTTGGAAATAGGAATTAAAGGACAAAAAAAAAGAGTCCAAACCAAGGAAAAAACCAAAAACTAATATTGGGATTCTATTCTATTACATGCAAGGTAAATACGCTCGACAGTCGACGTACCCTAAATAAATTGTAAATTAATAAAATACTAATTCATAATATTAATAAATTAATTAACAAAGTTTAATTATTTTAGTCACTAAAATTAGTTTTTTCTTAATTTTTTTTTCTTCCCAAATACGCTTTTTTCAATAAAATTGTACTATAAAAATTAATTTTCCTTATTTTTTCTAATGAGAAAATTAAATTTTAATTTTCTTCCTCTATATATAGCAACAAGTGTTTATAAGTGAAAATTTTCAAAAAAAATTTGAGTAGTTGATGCCGAGCGTTAAAGGACAGAAATCTAAAAAAACAAAATCAATGTGTCCAACTCAAAAGATTTTATTGAAAAAAAAAAAATTATTTCTAAATTACAGGTGTGTGCTGTGTTCGATATGCTATATTCGTAAATTTCTTTTCTCAATGTTTAAAAAGCTGAATCACTACATAATTATTTAAAAGTAGAAAAATTTCGCTCTAAATTTTCAGTTACATTTTCTCTTTCTTTTTTTAAACCACTTCTAATCTAAAATTATTTTTAATAAAAATACAAAAAAAATCTTGGTCAACTATTTAATATTTTTTTAAAATATTAAATAATTATCCATTATTTATAAATTAATATTCAATAAATAATTTAAAAAAAAAAAAAAAAAAAAAAACGAATGTCAACATTAATTTTTTTTTTTGTTATCCAATTCAATATTTTTTAAATATTAAATTTATACACTGAAATATATATTTCCAAACAATTGAAAAATTATTGATTTAATTATTTTCAAAATTAGGCAAATTTATCAGAATCTTTCATCGACAAATTGGTTTTATTTATTAAAATATTTTTTATAAAATAATTTTTTTGTAAAAATGATTTAAAACTATTTTACAACTAAATTTAGAAAAAAAAAATTGAAATATAAAAAAACTTTTTAAAAATTACTTCAATAAAATTTCAATTTAAGAAATATTGTCAAGAAAATTTGTAAAAAAAAAAAATGGAATATTTTGCCATTGAAAGTTTCTGTAATTTATAACCTGATTAAATTGGCTTCATTTTATTATTTGAAAATTATTTTCAAATGGAAATATTGTTTCAGAATTTTAATACAATTGGAATTAAAGCGTTTTGATTTATCTATTTATTTATTTTTTTTTTTATCAAATATTAGCGGACTGTTAGCTCTGTTAGAGTGTTATGTATCCTTTACGTAATAATTATGGAAAAGAACCAACACCAGGAAAATTGAGCTTGCATTTTTGTCTTTTTTTTTGTCTTTCTTTTTTTTTTGCTACGTTTCAGTCAAACTCTGCAATGGGAGAGCTTTGAGTTACTCCATTAGAATAGTTAAAAATAAAATTTTAACAATTTTAAAAGAGTCTTAATTTTAAAAATTACATTAAAGTATATTTTTTGGGGGTTTCATATACTTTTCATTGTTTATTTTTTTTTTCTATACTTTTTTCTTTTCTAAATCCGTTAATCACTGCACTAATTTTTTTTTTCCTCTTGTAAATCAAAAACATATATAAATATTTGACCTTTTTTTTTGCGGCAATTATCTCTCAGTTTTTTTTAAACTAAAAATTATACAGTGTAAGATTTTTGGTCCCTCATATAGAATTTGCGTATAAATCAAGTCATAACGCAAAGAAAAAAATTGCTGTATTTTTTTTTTAAATTCTTCACTTTCATTCGGTTGAGAAAATAAAAAGAGTGTGGAAAATTTTGTAATTTGCAATAAAAGAAAATGAAATATATCTTTTATAGTGAAATGATCATAATTTTTTTGTTTTAAACAAAAAAATGATGTTTTTAATAAATTAGGTGCATTTTCAAATGTCGGTGCTTTTTATCTATATAGATATAAAAAGGGAAAAATGAAACACAAATCGAGATATACAATACAGGCATGCATTAATACTAATCACACAGTAAGAACTGATTTTTATATACGTAAAAATTGTCAATCTATCCTGTAAAATCTACTTAAAAAAAAGGAAAATAAAAATAATAAATCATCGCATTAAAAAGTGAAATTAATCACAAGTCTCACAGCTGGTAATTTAATAAATTATAAACTAAGTTTTGTTCTTGCTATTAAGAAACAAATTATCTTAAAAAAAAAAAAAAAAAAAAAAAAAAAAAAAACTGGAAATCAGCAATCACATTGATTTATAATAATTAAAATTTCATTATAATCTACTTACTATCTATTTACAAATAAATTATGCACAAAATATAATTTTAACTTATAAATCTTAAAAATATATAAAATATTAAATAATTATTAATTTTATAATAAAAAAAAAATAAATAAAATCAAACTTTCATAAAATAAAAATATTTTGACATTTTTACGATTTTTTTTTTTTTTGATTTTGTTAGAATTAAAGCTTTTGTAATAGTTAACAAATAATTACTAATATCTTAATTGTCCAAAAAAAACAAAATTCCTTATTTTTCAAATTATATCTATATTTAAAGAAAAAATAATTTGTTTTAAAAATTGTTGATTAATTTAAAATTTTAGATAAATAGGTTTTTTTTTATCGAATACAAGTTTTTACAATTTAATTAAATTTAGCTAAAAATTAAAAAATATATTTTTTTTCTGATGATTTGAAAAATAATTTTTTTTTTTAAACGATAAAATTGAAAATACAAACAATAAAATAAAATAACAATAAAAATTTCTTTCAATATTTAAAATTTAGAAGAAAAATTTTTTTTTCGTTAGAATTTTCATTAAAACAAAAATGTAATATCAAATAGGTGTCAGAAAAAAAACAAAATAGAACATTTATCCAATTTTGAACAAAATAAAGAAACTTTTTTTTTAAACACAAATTAAACAATTATAGGTAAATTGAGAAATAAAAAAAATTTATACTATTTTTTCAAAATTAAAAATATAATTTTTAAAAAGTTTAACAGGTTTTCTTTCCAGATTTAGCAATTTTTTAAAAAAATTTTAATAAAATTAATTAGTTTTTAAACAAGTGAATTTAAAATTTATGTAATTCCAAAATTTGAATTTTTTCAAAAATTTTAAATGTTAATTTTTTAATTATTGAAATTAATCTAATACAAAATAATTGTATACCTATTATAATAATTCAATTAAATTTTATTGTTAATGATGTAATAATGATGATAAATAAACTTTAGAAAAAATCTAATGAGCTTTTTAATTTCGTTTAATTTAATTTTTTTTATTTTTAAAAATTTTGTAACTCTTTAATTTTGTGTTCAAAATCATAAAATTTATTTATTATTTGTTCAAAATAAAATTGAAAGAATATTATAATTTAAATAATAAATTTGTTTTTCAAAATAATTCTTATAAATTATATATAAATAATTTAAAAAAAAAATAATAATGTGTTGAATAAAATGTGGATTAATCTAAAAAAAAAAGGTTTTATAAAAATTTACATTTGTACTCTACAAAATAATTTTATAAATATATAATTAAAAACAATAAATGAAAAAAAAACATTAAGACATTTTTAATAATAATTTTTCTTTATAAATTATTTTATAAAAATAATAAAATTTCAATATTAAATCAAAATTATTGTAATATATATATATATATCAAATTTTTTAAAAATATCAAATTATTCTCAACATTTATAACTTGTTAATCTAAAATAGTAACAAATTAGAAAAAAAAAATAAATCAAAATAATTAAAATTTTCACGAATTTTCACGAATGTTTTCAAATTTTTTTTCTACGGACAAAAATAAAGCCAGTTGTGAGACTTGCAAATATTAATAATAATTGATCGTGATCAAAATTGATCTACTCAAAAAAAAAAAAAGATTAAAAAAAATGTTTCTACCATAAACATTACTTTTTATTACTAATCTCCATCGAAATCACTTACGAGTGGAGTAGATGTTTTCCTCGGAAAGGCCTGCTATGAACAAACGTTCATTCGTTACAAACTATCAAACTCTCTCTCTCTCTCTCACAAAAAAAAAAAAAAAAAAAAAAATACATTTTAACGTGCAATTATTTTTTTAAGAACATAATATAGACGCGATTTCTCTTTCTCATTTGTTGTTCGTACGAAAAAATCTCTGTGTATCTTGAAAATTAGGGGAAGTCGAATTACTACCCTCTGAACTACGACGTGGAAAATTTAACGAATCACTAATTATTTCGCAATTAAAATTTCTCGTCTCTAATTTATGACGATTTTCTAAATCCTGAATTATTTCCGATGGCCTTTTCAATTGAACACTCGCGATCCTCTCTAAATCACAAAGATTATCGCTACTCTTAAATTTTTGACTTAACAATGGCTTATTCTCCGAATTATTATGACTAATTTGAAATTCCTCATAATTCGACCACGTACTCGAATGATGTAAAACACGTTGTTCATTTAATGATGAATTTGGATTTAATTTCAAATATAGTGAATTTTTTGTTTTGAAACTATCACTATTATTATCATCATTATTTGAATCATTATCATCATTATCGAGATTACAAAGAGCCGCCTCGAGACATTCAAAATCAACGCCCTCACGTGAATTTGCAGCCAAAAAACGTGGCGTCGAACAACCTAAATCAATATCTAAATTTTCATTTTTTGAACTAAACATGATACTATCCTCAAGAACACTATATTCAACTTTAGCGGAAACTTTATTATCATCAAGTGTATCCTTACTACCCCATGCTCTCATTTTACTAAACATTCTCAGGGGACTTTTTGAAATACGTGATTTGTGACAACGTTTTTTATCAATTGAATTTTCCGGACTCGATAATTCAAGACCATCAACATCATTGACACGTACTGTTATTGAACTTTTTCTCTCTGCACTGTGAGAATTTAATGAACCCTTTCGTGAACCAGAGGGCGAACGAAAAAATTCCGCTAATGAATTTAATCGCGATTCAGAACTATCACGACGCTGCTGCTGCTGTTTAGATTCCTTTGATTTACTTCTATCACGTTTTTTCACTCGTTTTGCAGTACCAACAAGAGTCGATGTAACGCTATGTACAAAATTTGTTGAATCATCGCGTGAATTTTTCAATTTACCTGATGAGGAATGTCGTGAGCGATTTATATCTTTTATTTCAAATTCACGTGATTGTTCTAAATCAATTGTTAATTGTTCAATATTATCATTTTCAATTATATAATTTGCAGTGTCGATGAATTCGGATAATTGTGAAATATCACAAGCGGCATTTTTTACTGCTGCTTGATCGTCTATTAAATTATTTGCGGAGGAATACAATTTTTTTGAGGTGGGGTTACCTATTTCCTGAAGAAGTGGCGAGCGATGCGCGTTTGCAAGCAAGGCAGTACGTAGTGGAGTCTTTTCAAGATCTGGTGCGGAGCGCGACCAACGTTTCACACCTGGTGATGTCGGATTTGGTTGCTGTGAGATTATTGCACCGCGTTCACGTTGATGTAGTGTTGATGGTCCCCAGGTTTTACCCTTAACGCCATCGGCTGGTACTAAAGGGGAAACAACAAAAAAAAGAAACAAAACACTACTACTTGCTACTTTTACTTTTATAAAAAAAAAAAAAAATTATTTATAATTTTACTACCTACTATATTTTTGCTGCATATACACACACACTGTCGTCTTGAGATGCATCTTATTTTTTTTAGCTCCTTTTGTCGACAATGATTTTCAGCAAACAAAACAAAACGAAAAAAAAAATAAAAAAAAAAAAAAATTGAATATGAATTTAAAAAAAAAAAAAAAAAATGGTGAAAGCAATAAAATAATAATAAAGAAAATTTTTGTTGAAATGTAGAGAAAAAAAAGGGTAAATTTTTGGACTTTTCACACCATGCTAGTAGAAGTGTAGATATATAGACATTTTCAAATTCAAACGAATCTACTAAGCACGAACAACACGTCTTTCAAGGTGTCAAAAGTAACAATTCCATAATGCTCGGTGAGTGTAATAATAGAAAGCCATAAGTATTTTTTTTATAATAAAATTCATTCGAATAATATTTCTTGAAAATTATATTCTTTTTTTTTCAATTATTTAAAATTATTTATTATAAATATAAGAGTTGCAAAAAATAAATTAATTCATAGAAAATTAAATTTTAGGGGGGGGGGGTGCATGATTATCTCATAAAAATCATAGATTTTTCATTTTAAAGAATTCTATAAAATATAATTATTTTTTAGTTAGAAATTTTTATTTTCCGAATTAGAATTTGAGAGAACTTTTTTTAAACAAATTCTTTAAAGAATTTTTGGGAAGCGAATTTTTATTTGTTAGAATTTGTATTTTACAACATTTCTCGTTACACAACTTTTTATTCAAAAAAAAAAAAAAAAAAAATTCAAATTTTACCCCATTTTAATTTTGCATAATTCTCATTCAATAGAATTTTAATTCGAATTTTTAAATGTCAGTGTATTTCCAAATTCACCAAATAATTGTATCTAATAAAATTCTTTAAAATAAAAATTCTAATAAATGATTTTTATGAAATTATGAGCCCCGTTAAATTAATTAATATTATTGTTTTTATTTTTTGCGTATAAAAGCGTTCTTAGTTATGTCTTGTATTTGATTTTTTTAAACAATTTTTTTCGAAGAGGGAAATTAAAAAAAAAATAATGAAAATTTTGCTTATTTTCTTTTAAGTTAATCCGTAATTTTTGTTTTATCGAAATTCTAATTCTTTGCGCTAGATGCTATTTTTTTTAATACTTATGGCTGTCTACATTAAACAAAGACTACGTCTACAAGTAACTGTAAAACTATTTGCAAGTGCAACATTAAAATATTATTATTATTATTATTATTACTATTCCATCATCACTTTTTTTTTTAAACTGACTTAAATAATTTTTTTAATTTTAAAATAATATTATTTTTTCTCAAAAATGTAAAAACATTTTTTAAACCTTTTAATGTGATTTATAACGAATTAGTGATTTTTAACAAGTGCTTAAAATAATAATAATAATAATAATAATAATGAATACCTATAAACGTAGTCACTGTTTTTTTTTTTTTTTTACTTATTGGTGATAAATAGAATTATGTTTATGTAACTTACAAGCTATTGCTCGAAGTCGAGGAATACTAGGCGATCCAGGCGGACTATTTGGCCTGGAAGGATTTCTATTTTTTCCCCTATCTAAAGCCGTGTGTTGCACGGTGATTGTATGTCGAAAGTCTGAAATAAAAAAACATTTTTATAAACATTTGGAATATTCAAGATTTCACAATTATATAGACAGCAAATTTTCATGGAGGAATTAATTTTTTATTTACCGTCAACTGATTTCTATTACTAAAAAATTTATTCGAAATTTCAGACAAAAATACAATAATTTGAAAACTTTTTAAGTAAAAAAAGTTATAATTGAAATTATTAAATTTCAAAAAATTTTAGATGGAAAATTTTAGAAGCTTTTAAATTGAAATTTTTGAAAATAATTGAATTTCAAAAAAAAATTGTGTTAAATTTCAGACAATAATTATAATAAGAGAAATTTTTAGCGATTTCTGTTAATGAAGAATTTATTAGAAAGAGAAGAATTTTATTAAAATTATTAAAAATTATTAATTTAGTGAAGAATTTTAGTTAAAAATTTGTTAAATAATTGAAATACAGAAGATCTGCGTTGTATACTTAAAAAATATATTTTGTTTAAAATTTTATAAAAAAATTAAAAAAAAGATCGCATTTTATTAAAATTTGTATAATCCGAGGCCTGAAATTATGATGGCAATGTAAAATAAAACAGTAAATTAAACAATTATTAAAATAAATAATTTCTTTTTAGATATTTAAAACAAAATTTTGAAATAAAATTCGTAATTAAAGAAGTTGCAAAAAAAAATGTCATTCATTTAAACGCTTCAAAACTTTTTGCTCATAGAAAATAATTAAAGAACAAATTACAAAATCCATTTGTATTTTTATAAAAAATTTCTCTTTTAAAAAATACTTTCCGATTTCACAAATTATCAAAATCACATATTTATCAAAAAAATAAAAATATAATTACAATTACCGTTTGTTTATTTTGGAAGCAAATTTAAATATTTATATTTTCATTAAAATTTCTATGTATATATAAAAAGAAATGCTGTAAAATGATATGAAACTTATTGTAATATCAATGAATAAAACTATTAAATGAAAATAAACAAAAAAAAAAAAAATTACCAGACGGTGCACTAATGTTACTTCCAGGTTCCTTTTTATTGAGTCTTAATTTTGATTTCTTGAATTTACCCTTCCTCTTATTTGGAGTTGGGGTAGTTTGTTGAATAATCATAACAATTAATTCTCTTTCCAAGAGATCGATTTCCCTCTCGGCTAATTCCTGTTCTCGTTGTCTTAAATTTTCTTCATGCTGTCGTTGTTGCACTTGTGCTTTGGTTAGCTCTTCTTCTCTACAGCGCAATTCCTAAACGATTGAAAAAACAAAAAGAATAAAAAATTTTGTAAAACATTGTACAAAAAAAAATTGTATCAACAACAAAAAAATCCATTTTTTTAATACTAATTAAACCATATAATATAATATAATATAATATAATATAATATAATATAATATAATATAATATAATATAATATAATATAATATAATATAATATAATAATTGACAAAAAGAAAAAGAGGGTCTTACCTCTTCTAACGAGCGACATTCCTTTGAATAGCATTTGACAAAATTTAAAATGTTACCGATAATTTGACAAAAATTCTTGTAAATTTTAAGTTTTTAATATTTTTTTTTTTATAAAGTGTAGAAAATATTTTTTTCTACACTTTATATTATATATGTACAAGTTTATTTTTAACCAGTGTTATATTATTTATTTAATTGTAATTTGCGGGCAATGCCTTCTATTATTGAATAGTTTAATTTTATTTCATTTATAATAATTCTAAATAATAGCATTTAACGAGGTCCTTCGACGATTTTTTTATATTTAATAATTTTATTATATTGTTTACGAGCAGTAATTACCTTTTCTTTCATGCGTAATCCATGAAGAACTTCTTCAATCTCAAGTCTCCAATCGTCCTGCATCGTGTGAAATGATTCGTGAGGTGTGGCAGCAAAAGCACTTCTAACATCATCCAATGCTTGTAAAATTGCAACAAAACCTGGTCTACAGTGACTGTCTGACGACCAACAGGCTGTAAAAAAATATATTTCCAATTTTATAGTTAAAAATTAAAATAATAAAAAGATATACATTTTTTACATAAGGTTTAAATAAACATTAATAATAAATGATAATTTAAAAGATAATAAACTGTAAAACTTTATAATAAGTACAGAATGGAGTCAATAAAAAAAATAAAATAAAAAGATAATAAACAAAATTGTCTCTCAAATAAAAATAATCAATATTTTATTTAAAAGCAAAAACATCATTTCTAAAAAATTTGTCTTGTAAAATTTTCTTTAATTTTCAGGTTCTAAGAAATAAAATTTCCATGATAAGAAAATTGAATTTTCTATGACTACTCCATAAACTTGTGGCTACCCATTGATATAACAAAAAGTCGACAATACATTTTTGACATACCTTCCATGAGAAATCTCCAAGGCTGTGGGCAAGTTGAAGGTATTGGCAAGGTAAGTTTATTTACGGCAACTCCATAAGCAACTGCCAAAGCATCTATGCCTTTGTATGGCGTTTCACCAGTTAAAAGTTCCCATAAAAGAACGCCATAACTGTAAATTAAAAACAATTAAATTAATCATTACAATTTATTCGAAATAAAACAAAACTTTTTTTTCTACTTTAATTACATAAAAAATATACAATTAATTAAATAAAAAATGTACAATTATTTAAATAATTAAAAAGTAAATATTACTTTAAGTAAAAGTTAATTTAAATACTAAAATATACCTCCAAACGTCGCTCGCTTTACTGAATGTACTTTTTTTAATAACTTCTGGTGCCATCCAAGCATAAGTGCCAGCTGCCGACATACGGGTTGTTTTGTAGACTTCTCTTGCCAAACCAAAATCTGTTATTTTCAATGTTTTATACTGAAGATCGTCATTCTCTATTGGCTCACTCAGTAAAACTAAAATAAAACAAAAAATAAAGATTAAAAATTCCAGTTTCAAAAAAAAAAAAAAATGTAAATTTAATTTCTAATTTTCATTTCTATCTAAAGTTAAAATTAAAACTAAAACTTTTAGCAAATTTTATCATTTTCAAAAATTTCAATAAACTTCTTCGATAATTTAATTATTTAATCAATAATTATTAAAATTAAAACATTAATTTTAATTACCACAAAATTTATTTATTTGTAAAATTTTCAAAAATTTCATTATGTTATCATAAACTTCGATTGCAGCTCATCGAGATATCAAAATTAAGAAATTACAAAAAATTTGTACCTATAAAGTTTTTCATACTTTTAAATATTTTTTAAATTTTCTATTAAAAATCTTTAAAAAATTTAATCATTAACAAATAATTTAAAATTGTTTAATTTCCAAATAGTTTTGATAAAAATTTTATAAAAATAAAAAAAAATGCAATTATGTATTTAATAAAAGAAAAGATAGTTACCATTGGAACTTTTTAAATCTCTGTGAATAAGACTAATTGGAGCTTTATTATGAAGATAATCCATTCCGCGAGCAATTTGAATTGCCCAATCGACAAGTACATCTGGCCTGATCTTTCTACCACTAAGAACCCTATTGAGACTACCGCCGCGAGCATATTCCATAACAAGACACATGTTTGGCATTTTTAAACAAACTCCCTCGAGCTGTACAATATTCTCGTGCTTAAGGAGCCAAAAAAGTTTTGCCTCCTGACGAACATTTTCCAATGTAACACTTGGTTCTTCATCTGGATCTTGACGCGCTGCTTTTACAGCAACCTCGTGTTTCTGCCAAAATCCTCTAAAAAAACAAACAAACATATTAATACACAATTATCATGAGTGAAAAGTCATTAATCATCAGAATCAGAAGTTTCTACAACATTTTTCACTAAAAAATTCCATAAGTTCGAGGTTCTAAGTAATATAATTTCCATGATAAAAGAAAAACCGATAAAACTAATAAAATGACAGACAATTCGGATAAATAATCAATCAAAAGAAAAAAGTCAGTTGAATTAAAATTTAATCAAATGAAAATTTCGTCACATACAAATTTAGTTAAAATATAAAAATTCTTTCAAAAAAAATTAAATGGAAAAATTGTACGATGCTATTTAACAAGGAAAATTATAAAATTCTTTACCTAACAAAATATTTTTTTAATAATTTGTTGATTAAATAAAAACTACAAGAAATATTTTTTAGGCAAAAAAATATAAAATTTTTCATTTTAAAAAATTATTTCTTTTAAAATCATTTATCATAAACGTTGTGTATTTTAACTTCGTAAAATTGTAATAAAAATTTGGTAAAGTGCAAATTTAGTTAAATAAAAATTCAGTTATATAATCAAAAAATACGCTCCTTCGTATACAAAGTGGAGAAATGGAATAATAATAAAAAATTTCTCTAATTTAAACAAAAATTCCATTACATTTTCTATTTCATCAAAATGAAATTTCATGAGAATTTTAGATTTTCAAGATGTTATAGAAATCCTATTATGTAATCCTATAAATAACTATATAAATCAGGTGACTGTAAAATTTTCATTTTCAAAATTATTTAAATTTATTCAAATAAAATTTAATGTTTGATTTACAATTTTTAAAATTAAAAAATCTACTGACATGTGACAATTTCTTTCAAATTTCACTATTTTTTTTCCTGATTTCCATCTTTTTCCTGAATTTACAACAACGCTGATAAATTTATTTTCTACACAATAACTACTATAAATAAACTCATAAAAAAAAATTATTAATTATAGTGAGAATATTTTTTTCTTTATTGTACATATTATTATTAATAATACAGGGATCACTGTACTTTTTATTATGAAAATAGGTGAAAAGGTAAATTATTTACCGAAAATAGATGACAAAAAGGTGATAAAAAAAATTGATAGAGTTAACAAAATTAACTTGCAAAATAATTTTTATGGATTAATTGGAATTTTTTTTATTAAAGATTGAAGCATTAATAGTTTAAAATATTAAATTTTTTGATAAATTAAAACTTAAATCAATTAAAATCTGAAAAAATTGAAATTCGAATAATTTGACATTTAAATTAATTACAATTTGAATAAACTAAAATTCAAATAATTTAAAACTTAAATCAATTAGGTAAACTTTGGAAAATTTAAAACTTAAATCAATTAATCTTTAGAGAAAATGTAAAATTTCTTTAATTTTAAGTTACAATCGATTGAATTTGCATTTCATTAAAATTTTAATTAATAAATTTGTATTGAACAATAAAAATTAGAATTAATTGAAAGTTTTATCACTTGAATTATTAATTAAAATTTACATTAAATATGAAATTTGTATCTATTTAAAATTTGAATGTAAATAAAATTTAATGAAATTAAAATTTTGATAAATAAAAATCATTTGCATCATTTGGGTCCTAAAAACATACAGGATGATTAAAAAAATAAAATTTTAATTTTTTACCAGTTTAGAAATTAAAGTTTTAAAAAATTTTGTATTCTGAAAATTAATACAAGTTCCAGAAATTTAAAAAAAAAAAATTTTCTAATTAATAAATTATTATCAGTGTTTTTACTTTGTAAATTCAATTATTTTAAAAATATTACATTCTCAAATTAATCGAATAATGAGAGAAGGTGAAGAAGGTAATAAATTATTATTAAAATAGGTGAAACAGAAGTCAAAATTTTAAATAGATGAAAAAAGGTAAAAAAAGGTAAACAGGTGATAACTTGTGATCCCAGATATTAGTATACAAAATTGTTAATTAAAAAAAAAACATCTCTACTAACCTGTAAACTTTTCCAAATCCACCAACTCCAATCACCTCTTCCAATTGCAATTCTTCAAAATCAATTTCAACAGGATGAACATTATCGATCACCGATGATACCCTATCGATTGCTTCCGCTTCAATGACAAAATTTGCCGGGAAAATACCAACTTTTCCCCGTATCTTCCCAGTCCACCAGCCTTCATCGCCAGAAATCTTTGAATCCTTGGATAAGACCTAGAAATAATTAAATAAATAACATATTTTCATCAAACAATTGAATTTTTTCTCTTAAATATTACATTTCTTTATTTCAAAAATATAAATTAAATCACTTTCAATCAATATAATTAATAATATTAAAAAAATACTAAAAAACAAAAATTAAATAAAAAATATTTGAATTTTTCTTAAAATTTCTAAGAAGTATTTTCTTATACATTCTGCAGCTGAATTGTGTAGGCATATTATTTACTAGATGCATAGATAATTTTACATTAGTTGTGAAAAGGATACTGTGAAACATACGTATATTTACATAAATTTAAATAAATGCTCCTTTTACTATTAACTTACTTTTCTTTTAATTTTTGCTTTTTTTTTTATTGTGACCATACTAGGAAGTAATTTCTCCTCAGAATTGTATTAAAAAAATGGTCCAAAAAAATAAATTTTCAAAGAATGATCAAAATTTCCTTTTAATTAAATTATGTAATTTATTTTAATATCATAAAAAATTATAGTTAACAAATAATAATAATAATAATAATAATAAACAAAAACAATACAAAGATAAAATGATTTTTTTTTACTTTCGGTTTCATTACTTTCGAATACAAGATTTCAATTACGTAAGACTTACAAAAAACTTTATTGTATTTTTTCCAACTTTGACAAATCCCTTGAAAAAATTTTTAAAAAATTTTTCTGCAAATAAAATTCGAATAAAAATGAAAAATAAACAATATAAATGTACTTTAAAAAAAAAAAAAAAAAAAAAAAAAAAAAAAGCAATTCATAATTTCTATATATTGCAAATTTTGTGCGTGTTTACCTCAACAGTTTCTCCTCGTTGCAATGACAACTCGTCCTCTCCCTGTGCGACGTAATCAAACTGGGCAGTAAAGAGAGTCGTACTGTTGTCCTGTCGAGATTGAGAGGAGGAATGCGTGCCATGGGAAGGACTAGTTTGTTGTGAAATTGTTCTTGCTGTACCACCACTGTGAGTATCGGATACACTGCTATCTGACATGGTGCTTGGAGTACGTCCGTATGAGTAGTTTTTGCTAAAAAAAAAAAGATTAAAGTCAATTAATTATTTTAATAAGAAAATCACTTTTGTTTTTATTACGTCAACAATATTATTCTCTACTCTAAAGTTTGAAAAGAAACCTGTTTAACGAGTTTATTAACATTATTGAGATCGATGAAACAAAAACAAAAAAATTATTAATTAAATTTAATAAATTATTCAATTAGTTTTGTATAGATATAATTATACTATTAATATACTATTTACTAATTAAACTAAAGTTTAGTATTTTTTTTTATTTGTTTATAAAATAAATGACAAAAATAAAATGGAAAAATATTATTGGGTAACAAAAAAAAACATAAATTTTAGTAATTTAACAGCTAAAACAAAAGTTAAGATATAAATAACAAAATAATGTGAAATTCTAAACGTTCAAATCAATTTTTTTTTTTAAATTACTACAGCAATGAAAAATAAAAAAAATTCATAAAACATTTATTAGAAAATAATTAAATAATAATAATAAATTTTTACTTTTTCTTAAATTTTTTTAAAACTTATTATTAATTATTTTGGATACAGAAAATAATATTTTATAATAAAATTTAAAGTTAAAAAAAAAGGATAAACAATTTTTTCGTTCATTTGAACGTTCAAAACTTTAGGCACATAAATAATGAAAACAAAGGAAAATTGTGCAAATAATTGGTATAAATAAATTAAGTAATTAACTAAGTAATTAGTATTAAAAAATAATTATAATATTTAAAAATAAAAAAAATTCATTACATATAAAAATATTAAATACGATAATTTATTTCACATTTCATCTCTATAAAACGTGAATTTAATTTTAAATAATGTGTTTGAAATATTAAAAATTAAATTTTTTTTTTTAAAAACAAGTAATAATTAAATTTAATATAATCATAAATGTAAATTATTTAAAAATAATTTTTTTGTTAAAAATAGGTATCGACTAACTTTTATTAATTATAGTTTTATTTTTATTATTATTAGTGAAAAATCACTAATTATTAGTAAAACGAAAAAGACTATTTGAAAAAAACAACTAATTAATCTCGAAATATAACTTTAAAAAATAATTTAATTTTAACTAATTCAATTAATTAATAAAAAAAATTACTGCGATATTTCAGCTATTTTGACATAACCTAAAAATATATATTTAACTGATAATTAATTATCTTTAACCAATTGTTTAACAGAAATATTAATGTGACTGACATTTAGCTATCTAATTATTTTCAAATTCACATTTACACAGAAAGTTTGAGTTTATTATATAAAGTATTTATTTTAGAAACGTACAAAATAAATATAATTCTGAAAAATGACAATATTCAAAGAAACCCAAATCAATTGTATATTTAATTCACCATTTAAATATTTTAACAAATTTCTTTATTTTTCCACAAAATAATATTAATGGTTTTTAATATTAAATTATGAATTGTTTTAATTTATTGATAATTAACTTATTTTCAAAACTCAATAAATATATATATATATATATAATTATAGGAAGAGAATGGTTTTTCCGTTAAAGTATTATTTATTACTTTCTTATCTAATCTTAAACTAATACAGAAATTATAAAAAAAGGTATTAATAGTATTTTCTTCCAGAAGGGTTTCTCAATTTTACTTATATTTGCTTTTTGAAAAAATTCGAATAAAACATTATCATAACACATATTTCTCTTTCATAAAGAAAAAAAATTGAAATTAACAAAATTTAAAATTTGGAAACATTTATATTTGTCATTGAATTTTGTATTTAAATGTAAATAAATATAATAATTATAAAAGGGAAATCATGATTCCATATCATTTATTATTTCCTTATCTAATCTAGACCTATAATGTACAAAAAAAAAAAATGTCTCACGTATCAAAAATATTGTTTTCTTTTTCTTAGATTTCTTTCTTTTCTATCACTATATATGATTTACATTAAACATTTTTCTTTTACCGCAATTAATGCCATTTATTTTCTACAAATTCACCAAATTAGAAAGTAATTTTTCGATTAATTAAATGAAAAAAAAAATATTTTTGTAATTTCGTGAGTAAAAAAAAAAAAAAAACTGTCAAATTAAAAATAAAAATACATTACCTAAATTGTGTGGTGACTCTACTGATGTGTTGATACCTGGGGGATAGTGTGGCCGTATTTTGTTGAAGGGGTTGAGAGCAGCCATTCTCTGAATAAAGTAGTAACCGCTCGCTCCGATGACGAGCGTCCGGTTGTCCGTGGTCCATCAAGATAGACAAGCCTCTTGCCGATAGCCCGGCTGGCGGCATATGGCACCGACCCTCTTCTTACCTCTCTTTCTTATGTATTTTAATTTACAAATCTCTTTGTCAGCTTCAACTTTATTTGTTTTCCCGTGGCGAATTATCTCACAAGAATCATAAACACAAGTCGATGGCACTGACATGTGTCACTTACTCCAACGGTTCACCACACATAAAATTTCAAATACAACTAACTTCCATAAACCACCATCTCCACGTACTTCTTATATTCATTTATACATATTTTTTTATCCAATTTTTCCCGCCTTAAGAGCCGACGCCCAAAAAAAAAAAAAAAAAAAAATCTACCCAACAATAACGATTGAAAACAATAGAAATTAACAATTTGTAAAAAAAAAACCAACCCAAACAATCGTAGGGATGAATTGAGAATTATCACACTTATTGGTTACCACCACCACCACTTTCACCCTGTGGCTATATCACTGGGTCAATGAAAAACCGGCTCCAAAAATCTTGTGACAAATTAAAAGCAGTCTTAAATTAAATTCACGAAATTACACTGGTTTTTATCATAAACACGGGGGATAATTAAGAAAAAAAACAACAACAAAAAAAATATGTCTTTCAAGAGCCCAAAAAAATGTCACCCAAAACACTGTGAATACCGCGTCAGGGTGTGTATACTTTTTTTTTTCCTACACTTTTCAAATAAGGGATTCCTTTAGGTCCTGGGGTTACGGCCCAAACCTTCAAAGGTTCGCCTCCCCATTGACACGGAGTTCTGCGTTATTTCGCAGAACACACCAATTATTTGCATTTAATGAAAATAATGAAGCAACACTCACGGCAATAACCTAAAGAACGCCATGTTCATCTGACGCAATTTGACGGGCCCCACAGTCGTGTCGTTGACGTTGTTCACATATAAACACACACACACAACTTTTACACATATGCATATATATGTCATGTTTGTACAGTATTTAATAAATAATACTTAAGCCAAATTGAATTTTGTAAATTAATTTAAGCAAAATTATACCTTCTTTTCATTAACATTATTTATACACTGTATTAAAAAATTGTATTTGATAAATTTAGTAAAATTTGTGCAAATTTTTGAAAGTATTTACGTCTTACGTAAATGCTTATGTATATGTGTGTGTAAAAACGCTGTTACGTTGGTGGCTATGAACAAACATAATTAAGCTTTGATCACAGTAGTGAAACTCCAAATTTTTCATTGCGCAGTAAATTATTGCGCATTTGTCAAATGTCACGTGACATGCAAATTTAATTTTTAACTTCTCAACCCTGTCTATTGTTGATAAATGCTATAGGCTATACATATTTTATTTATTTTGTAAAATTTGAATGATTTAAATGACAAGTTCCTTACATCATTGATAAAAGGCAATAATTATTATTGTAATAGGTTATCAGTTGGATTTTAAAAAGAAAATTCTTATGAAAATATTTTTTATTTGCAAAAGAAATATAAATATTAACCTTAAACTTGTCGCCACGTCAATTTGACGTTAATCGTCAAATGCATTATACTATTTAACCGTACACATTTTGAAAGAAAAGTAATCAGTAATCTGACTAAAGGCTATCCTCCACGTTCACCCAAGGGTCACGCCACTTGTTGGCAAAGAACAGTTAATTCTTATTTAAATATGCCATATACCGAAGATCACATACGGAATAAATTGATAAAAGACCTGGACGCGGTACACGTGGTAAGTGTTATTTATCTTTTTTTTTTTTCATTTTATATAAAATATTGTAAGAAATTTTCATAACTAAATTTTTAGGGCAAAATATTTTTGAAATATTTTAAAATCTTTAATGGAAAAATTGAAGTTGATTATAATAAAGGTTAGTTCTACTTCATTTTCATGTTTTTAACATATAGAAAATAATTTTTAATTTAAGTTTTTTTTTTAAATTTAATTTTTTATTTTTAATATACTTTGAATTATTGAAAATTCCATTTGGATAAAGATTAAAATTTTCTGTCATGTAAAAATGACTAAATTTTAGGTTATGTTACGTAAATTGTTTGTATTGCGTTTGTAAAAAAAATTGTATTGTTTCCTGTTAGAAATTTGCGATTTTTATTCAAAATGCAACTTTTAATGATTAAAAATATTAAAAATTAAATTTTTTACACTTACACTGATAATTTTAAAGAGTAAATTTTTTTTCTTTTAAAAACACGAAAATATGAAGTTAAACTAACTTTTGCTTCGATTCATTCTTAAAATTCTAGATATAATGCAAACTCTTTTAAAATTTGTATAAAATAAATAATAACTACAATGAAAATTATTATTCAGGCTTCGAAGTGACATACTTTTTTTTACTTTTTTGATACTTTTTTTCGACAAGGCAACTATTTTACTATTAATTTTGGCCAAAAGCCACTAAATACTACTTTTTTCCAAAAATAATTTTAAAAATGACAAAATTCAAGAATTTTAAATTTTATCGAATTTTTTTATTCCTAAAAGCTTGCCAAGTTGATGATTTATTATTGGCCTTAACTACTGCTTTATATAATTATTTTTTACACGAATTTTCATTTTTCAAAATAGCATTTAACATAATTTCTTTTTAAACGACCTTTTTACTCAATAGAATTTTTAATTTGAAAAAATTTTTTTTGACACAATTTTTATTTTACAAAATTTTTCTTTACTCAACAGTTTTTTCTAAAAATAATTCTAATTTAACCGAAATTCAGACAATAATTGAATTTTCGAGTATTTTGAATTGAAAAATGTTTTAAATAATTGAAATGCCAAGATCTTGATTAAAATTATTAGAAATAATTATTTCAACAAAAAATTTGAATCAAAATTTTTAATAATAATTGAATTTCAGGAGATTTTGAATTAAATTTTTTGTAAATTAGAATTGATGAAAATTATTAACAAAGTTTTCAACATTAATTGAATTTTAGAGAATTTTGATTAAAAAAATGTTTTATTTAATTGAATTTTTGAATAATTGGATTGAAATTATTAATTTAGCAAAGAATTTTAGATACAAATTTTAAAAATAATTGAATTTTGAATTAAGATTTTTAGAAATAATTGAATTTTTTTGAGATTTTGAATTATAATTGTTGTTTTAAAATACTAAATATTTTATATAAGTTTCCGATTTCAAGTTTTAGGATTTAAAAATTCGAATAACTTAAAATTCTACTAAATGAGAATTCTAATAAATTAAAAATAGGTTAAATTAGAATTCTTTTCAAGAAACAATTGTGTAAAGAGAAATTTTGTAAAATAAAAATTCAATCAAATAAAAAATTTGGTACTTTGAAAATTCCGTTGAGTAAAGATTCGTTTAAAAAAAATTCTCTATTAAATGCTATTTTGTAAAATAAAAATTAATTTATGTTAAAAATCATTTTTATGGAATAATCATACGCTCCTACTGTTGTGCCAAAAACAAAAAGTTAATCGAAATTTAACAATAGATAGTTTTTTTTTTTGTTTTAAATAATCATGAGAAAAATTATGTTAATTTTATTCCTCAGAATTTTTCTTTCAATTTTTTTAGATAAGAAAATATTTACACTTTAACATCAAACTTAGAAAACTAATTTTATTTCATTTTAAAGATGCCATTTTTTGCATACTTTTTTTCAATTTTGGGGATACTTTCTTTTTAAAAAAAAAATGATACCTATTCATACTTTTCTTAATCTCTTACTACGCTTCGAAGCCTGTATCATTCTCTAATTATAAAATTTTTCAAATAATACAAACAGAAAATAATAAAATTCTTTTTCAAAATTTTTTTACGTCGGTGAAGTTTACAACGTTTATGATCAACGATTGAGAAGAGAAAAAATTTTTTCTATGCAATTTATTTATTTATTTATCAAAAAAATTTTTTTTGCAACGTTTCTTGATCAATAATTTTTTGACAAAAAAAATTGTAGGCAAAAAATTAGTTATTATTTTTTGAGTGAAAAATATATTTTTTTTTCAATCGTTAATCATAAACGTTGCAAACTTCACCAACGTAGTTTTTTTTTTTTTTTTTTTTTTTTTTTTTTTTTTTTTTTTTTTTTGAAATAGTCTCTAAATATAAAAAAATTTCAAACAATATAAACAGAAAATAATAAAATTGTTTTTCAAAATATTTGAATACAGAAGTGAATTCTAGTGTTCTTTTCCAGGATCGGCAAATTTTCTAAAACAAATAAAAGAACAAACAAAAAAAAAAAAAAACAACCACACAGTACAAAAATCAAAACAATGCAGGAAAAAATACAAACATTTTGCGTAATTAACGTGGCTCTAATTTTACGATGGTGCGTTACCTATCATCCTTATAGCGGAGAAGGTCAACCTCCAATGTATGGAGATTATGAAGCACAACGACATTGGCAAGAAATTACTGTAAATCTTCCCATTGAAGAGTGGTACAAAAATTCCACTGACAATAATCTTGATTATTGGGGATTAGATTATCCACCATTAACGGCGTATCATAGTTTTTTATTGGGAAAAATTGCACAAAAAATTGATTCAAAATATATTACACTTCATGATTCTCGTGGATTTGAATCATTTGATCATAAATTATTTATGCGTCTCACTGTTTTTTTAGCTGATTTATTTATTTGTTTACCGGCTATTTTATATTTTATTTTTACATTTATTGAAAAAAAAATTAAAGAAGAGACAAATTTGATTTATCAATTTTCAACACGTGTTTCATTATTGGCTGTGATTTTATTCTATCCGGGTCTTATTTTAATTGATTATGGTCATTTTCAATATAATTCTATTTCATTGGGTTTATTTGTTGCTGGACTTGGATCAATTTTAAATAATTCATTAAATTTAGGTTCATTTTTATTTATATTGGCATTAAATTATAAACAAATGGAATTATATCATGCGCTTCCATTTTTTGTTTATATTCTTGGAACGAATACACCAATTAATAAACGATTAATTTCAAAGTGTCTTTTGAATTTATTTTATGTTACATTCACAGTTATTGTGACATTTCTTCTTGTTTGGTTTCCATTTATTTGGAATAGTAGAACATTTTTTAGTGTTATTATGAGATTATTTCCATTGGCAAGAGGTGTATTTGAGGATAAAGTTGCAAATTTTTGGTGTACAATTAATGTTGTTATTAAATTAAGGGATATTTTTGATAATATACATTTGGCACAAATTTGTCTTATAACAACGACAATTGCTCTATTACCAAGTTGTCTTGATATGTATTTTCGACCATCGAAACAAAAATTTATTATTTCACAAATTAATTCATCATTGGCATTCTTTCTTTTTTCATATCAAGTTCATGAGAAATCAATTCTTCTTGCGGCAATTCCTGTCGCTTTATATTTTCAATATGAACCATTTGCTTGTTTTTGGTTTTTATTAATATCATCGTTTAGCATGATACCATTAATAATTAAAGATGGTCTTCTTATTGCATTTTTTGCATTGACAATTTTCTTTTCTGTTTCAATTTCGTGGCTTTGGTTCACGGAATCTTATTTTTTAAACGATTCAAATATTAATTATAATAATGAGGAACAAAATTCAAAATTAAAGAAAGAAAAATCTAAAGGTAAAGCTTTGAGTAAAAAATCGAAATTAAAAAATCAGAAAGAAAAAGAGACGAAAGTTACATTAAAAGAGTCTTTAATATCGATTGTTTGTAATAAACGATTGATAATTATTCTCTTTTATTTGTCAATTAGTGGATTTGTACTATTAACATTTTGCTGTAAATTTATGAAACCAAGAAAAATTTATCCTGATTTATTTCCACTATTGTTGTCCGTCTATTCGTGTGGACATTTTATTCTTTTCTGTTTGTACTTTAATTATCGTCAATTTACATTAAAAACACGTCAAGGGAAATTAAAATTTAATTAACTATTAAAAATAAATGACGGTCAATTATAGAATGAATTATTATTATTATTGTCATAAGTTTGCATTGTATATTCGAGTGAAAAATAATGTTGAATGAATTATTATAATAATGTATAAAGTCTCTGTATGTTTTGCGAAAATTGAATCCGTCGAGTGTGAGAAAAAAAATTGTAAATTATTTTTTTATTTATACAATTTGTATATATAATAAAACATAATTTAAATAATAACTAATTACCAATTTATTTTTTATAATTGTTTACTATTTTTCTTCATTTTTAAATAACACATTTTTATTATTATTTATTTTTTTTTTTTTTGAATTATTTTTGACAAAAAATTTATTTTCAGTATAAATTAAAGAATTATATCCAAATTAAAGATAATAACAATACAATTTAATTATATTAAAATTATTTTATTTTTTATACAATTATTTAAAAATTGAACTATATTATAAAATATAATTATTTTGAAATAATAGGTTTTAATTTTAATTATTTTTTAAAATTGTTTATTTATTTAACACAGGAGCTAAATTTTAAAATTTCATTAAAATTTCAATTGTTCATTATCTGTTTCCTATTATTTTCTATTTCACAAATTATTTTTAAAAATTCAATAGTTTGTAAGATAGCAAATTTTTTACCATCAATTATTTTCAAAAATTTTTTTTTTTTTTTATTTTATAAGATTTTGAAAAAAAGTGATAAAACTATATCTCAATTTTTACAATAAAAACCTTAAATTTGATTTTAATATTGTTTAAAGTATAAAAATAATTAAATTGATAAAAAGAAATTGTTAATTTTATAAAAAATATTTTTAAATATATTTTTAAAAAATAAACTATGCTTAAATAACGTTTATAATCAACAATTAAAAAATAAATTTTTCTAAAACGGAAAATTATAAAAAGTTTTCTTTAAAAAACAGGTTTTTATAATTTTTTCATCAATAAACAATGTAAAAAAAATATTTCTTTAAAAATCGTTTATCATAAAACATTTTGAACTTCAGCATCGTTAAAATAATTGAATTTTTAAATAATTAAAATTGAAATAAAGTTACATTTTTCATATAATTAATATTTTTGAAAATGGGGATTTTTAAAATAATTGAATTTAATTTTAATGAATTAATAATTTTAATTAATTTCAGGCCTCGGATTATACGTCTTTTTCCGACTGTTTTTCAAAAATACGACTTTTTTCTACATTTTTTTACATTTTTTAAAAAAATTTTAAACATAATACGTTTTTTTAGTATACAATGCAGATCTTCTTCAGATCTTCTTTATTTCAATTATTTAACAAATTTTTAACTGAAATTCTTCACTAAATTTATTATTTTTAATAATTTTAATGAAATTCTTGACAAATTTAATTATCTTAAACTATTTTTCAATTAAAATTTTTATGTAATTTAATAATTGTTTATAATTTGAATTAATTTTTGTAATTTGATAAAAAAAATTTCTAGAATTTGCAAAAAAATGTTAAACTTTTAATTAACAATTTTTAATTAAAAAAAAAATTATTATTTCAAAAATGTTATTATTTTCTACGTGAAAAATTTTTTTCCATTATTGATCATAAAAGTTGTGAATTTCACCGACGTAAAAAATTCATTATTCAAAGGAACGTCAAGTGTTAATAGAAATTAATTTTAAAATAATAAAACAAAAAAAAAATTTATAATTTAATAATTATGATTAATAAATAATGAATTATTTATAATATTATAATTTAATATCGAAAACGATATATATATTTTTTTTTATATTTAAAACCTTGAACGATAAAATAATTATAAACATCTGTAATATAATGTTAATTATTTGTTTCAGGAAGTTGTTGATCAATCCGATGGTTGTGGGGCAAAATTTGCAGCTGTAATAGTTTCGAATAAATTCGAAGGGAAGCCGCTATTACAAAGACACAGGTAATATTTAGTTCACGAATATATAATTATTGATAATTTTAATGAATTCAGTTTTCAATGTGTTAATTTATATTTCAGATTAGTCAATTCAGTACTGTCGGAGGAATTGAAAGAAATTCATGCCTTTTCACAAAAAACATTAACTCCTGAACAATGGGAGAAAGAGTAAATTATAAGTAAATAATAATTTTTAATTGTGAATTATAAAAAAGAATCCCGAAGTCATGTGCTAAAAAACTTGTAAATGTTCACTATTCCGTTAATATTGTAAATTAATTTTATTATTATATAAAAAATCAATATTTTTTTCATCACATTGAAAATTTAATCGAATTGACTTTTATCAAATTAATTGTTTCATAAGAGAAATTAATAATTCATTAAAAAAAAAAAAAAAAGATGGCAGAGTTCAAAGTATCAGCGCCAGGAAAAGTGATTCTTTTCGGTGAACATTCAGTTGTCTATGGAAAAACAGCAGTTGCTGCGAGTTTATCATTAAGAACAAATTTGAAATTTAAAGAACAAATATTGGAAAAAAATTACATTGAAATATCAATGCCAAAAATAAATTTAAATCAACAAATATCATTGCAACAAATAATTGATTTCTTCTTCAGTGAATCATCGATAAAATTATCGTCTGGCCATGAGAAATTTTACAAATATGTACAAAAATTTGTTGAACAATTGAATATTGAAACAATTTCTCAACGACAGGGTTTAGAGGCATTATTTTATTTAATGATTGGAATTTCACAAAAAGAGAATATAGTAATTAAATCATTTTATTTACATTTGGATACAGCTTTGTCAATAAGCTCTGGTCTGGGTAGTTCGGCATCGTTTGCAGTTTGTCTTGCCACATGTTTTTATTATTGGTCGCGATTGCAAAAAAATTTACAAACACCACTCGATAATTCACATTTAAGGGAAATATCATCGTATGCCTTAGAATGTGAACGTATTATGCATGGTACACCATCGGGTATTGATAATACAATTTGTACATTTGGCTCGATTATTGAATTTAGAAAAGGTGAATGTCTTGTTCCAATTAATGATGCAAAAATTATGCGTGTTTTATTGGTTGATACAAAAGTTCCAAGGAATACGAAAAATTTAGTTGAAACTTTTGCCAAATTACGTTCAAAATATCCAAAAATTATTGATCCACTATTGGAATCAATGGATGGCATTGCTAAGGAAGCTTTGGCTATTATTCGAAGAATTCAAGAACTTCCCGAAGCACATGATGAATTATTGTTTGAAGCTTACGATGAATTGATGGTGAGTTGTTCTTTTTTAATTTTTTTCAATTAAATTTTATTATTAATAAATTATTAGAATTGTATTTTTTTTCTTTTTTTAATTATAAAAATTAAATATCGTAAAAATTCCAAGGTATACCTTTAAAGAATAATAATTACAAATTATAAGATTTTGAAAATATAGTCCATAATGACTTTTAGATGAAATATAATAAATTGATAAATAAATAAATTTTTTTTTTTTTTTGCATATAAAAATTTTATTTTAAAGTTTTAAAGCATTTTGAAAAAGAAAAAAAAAAACAACAAAAATCTTGAAAGAAGAGAAAAATAGAAAATAACATTTATTTTTCTTGCAGACGTTAATAAAAATAAATCAAGGATTTCTTGGGACTTGTAATTTATCTCATCCTTCGTTGGATGCAATTTGTGCGGAGGCGAAAAATTATGGACTCGCTGCAAAATTAACTGGTGCTGGTGGTGGGGGTTACGCTTATATTCTACTTCTTCCAAATACATCGAATGAAATTATTGATAAACTTTCTCAAAAATTAACGGCAAGTGGATATCTCGTTACATTAACTAATTTAGGGGGTTCAGGAATAGAAATTTTCAAGTAAATTAAATTGGATTCAGGCCTCGAATTATACGACTTTTTCCGATTGTTTTTTTTTTAAATACAACTTTGTTCGATTTAATTTAATAAAATGCGACTTTTTCGACTTTTTTTGTGCTTTAAAGTCGATTCGAGGCCTACCGGAGTTAAATTTTTGTTTGTTTCTAATTTATCAATTAATCTCTATAGAAAAAGGTGACATGGTATTATTATTAAAAAACAGGAAAATTATACGGTATTATCAAAAAGAGAACTAGTGCCTTTTAATTTGTAAATCTATGAAATAGTGTCATATTGATGGGAACAATATATTTATTATTTACTAACTGTATATTTTTTATTTAATTTTATTCTTGTCTTCGGGGAAATAAAAGCAAAAAAAAACTAGATTTGAATTTTATTTATTTTTTAATTCTGTAAAAATGTAATTACATTTACACGATTTAATTACTACATTATTTCAGAAAAGTTTTTTTTTTATCACATTAGTGTTTGTTACATTTTTTTTTTTTTTTTTTTTTTTGCTTTTAGTGTTTATACAAATTAAATTTCTGAAAGTCAAAATAATAGGTGTAATATCACAAAGACGAATGGAAGAAGTTTTTAAATTACATAAAACTTTTATAGGAAGCTCTTAATAGTCGTGGTGGTGAAATTTTCTAAATGAATAATACTTTTTGCATTTTTTTTTTTTTAAGAATAAAAAAAAAGATTCTAGTTGAAATAAATTAAAAACTAGTACAATAAGTACAATAATATTTTTATATGCACTTAAAAATTAAGGTGAATCTTTATGAAAAAAAAAAATATGGGAAAAGTAGAATATCTATGTAAAACAATTTTCACAGTACTGTTATAAAATAATAGTTATTAATTTTCTTTTAATTTGGTTTTAATTTAATTAATTAAAATAGAATAGAAATTTATTTTCAATTATTCATTCGAATGAAAATATTTAATATCTCTTAATTTAGTTATATTTATTAGTTAATTATTATTTTTTTTTTTTTTTTAAATTAATTTACTTCTTATTTTTTGGACCATACTACATAACCGATAAAATTTTTTTTCATATAAGATATGCATAATTTTATATAAACTAATTAAATTACCGTCAATCGAGTTAATTATAACCGACCAGGGGCTATTATTATTAATAAACAAACTTTGCTAATTGTTTAATCGTCCTAATAAATCCACAAAGCAATGGTTAAAATTTTTTTTTAATTAATGCATTTTAATGATGTGTTGAGTAAAAAAGTAGCGATTTTGTGGATATAATTACTACGGTTAACGGTAGTTTACACATAAATATTTTTTTTCGCATATATATATTATTTTTCTTTTCTAAAAAAAAAAGGGAAAACAAATTAAATTATTTTCCGCAATAAAATTTGTTTTCACTTTCAATTAATCTAATTTTATATAATTCATCTGTAAAAATAAATATAAATTATATAATTGGAATATAATATAATTATTATAGATTTCAAATGAAGAGGAATGATTTTTCTGATATAAAAGCATTTTTTAAAGTTTGTTTTTAGTATTATCTTACTTTTGTATAAACGCAAATTTTGAACTAATTTGTATGTATGGAATGATTGAAAAAGTCATTATATCTGCCTTTGGCGTCACTTAAAAATTACCCTTTTTTTTACTGTTTTTCCGATGATAGTATATAAATATCACACAATTGTAAGTAAAAAGTAACTCTTGAAAACTGTCAATTGTTAAAAAAAAAAAAAAAAAAAAAAATTAGGTGAACAATAAAAATTCACTTACTTTTATAAAATAAATCACTCAAACATACTTTTCATTCCACATAATATCAGTTAGTTCTACATTATTTACAAACTATAAATAATAGATAAAATTTTTTTTTTTTTTATTATAAAAAAATAAAAATTGATCATTAAACACTAAAATGTGTTTTTTGTTTCATGTAACAATAATAAATTTGATATGTTTCCAATGAATAAAGCAATAATCTTTGTATAAGCAAAGATTTCGTTTTTAAAATGATAAAAATGATATGAAAAAAAAAAATTATATAAATTATAAATTAATAATAATATACAACATTAAAGCCATCAAATATTGCAGCTAAAATACTTTTAGAAACTTTAGAAGTTTTTTTCATTTTTGTTTTTGTCTAACAAAATTTTCTTTTTTTTTGTACTAAAAATTCTAAATCCTTGAAAAAATTATTTTTTTTCTACGGATAGAAAAAGAGTTAAAATTTTTCTTTAACAAATTAACATGAAGAGGAAAAAAGAAGAAAATTAATCAACTATAGTTTAAAATTAAACTATAAAGGCATGTTACTTGAATTTCTTTGTTGTTGTTGTTGTTGTTGAGTATTATTGGTTAAACCGTTTAATACTAATTGTTCAGGATCAATATTCCTGCTACTTTCGCCAATTTCCTCGTAACTACTTATTGTTCGCGATGCATCATGACTCTCTGCCAATTTTACCTCCGCAAGCCATTCATAAATTTCATTAGTGTACATTCTTGTTTGGAGAATTTCACGTGTTCTAGGCCGTGATCCAATAAATGCCATTGTTCCCTAAAAATTACATAATAATTTTAATTATAAAATTTACAATAAATAAAATAATAATTATTATTATTACAGGGTTGACAAAAAAATTTAATTATAATTTTCGCTGAGACATTTCCCTGACTTCCAGACAGTTATTTCATAATTTTGAATAAATTCTTCGATATTTGAATTATTTTTTAAATTTACATCGCATTTAATTCTTTGGATTAAAATTTTTCCTCTTAATTTTGAATTTTAACCATTTATTTTAAACTTCGATTTTTATAGTATTTTAAATTATAAATATTATTCTATAAAATTTTAATAATTAAAGGTTTTGTATTTTTTTTTGTGCCTACCCTGTTCTAATATCCTTATTATGAATTTTAGAATTCGTAATAAATTTATGTACAAGTCCAAATTCTGACAATATAATTTAGAAAGAGAAAAGGAATTGAAAAAAAAATTTGAAATTTTGATCTGATAATTATTCTTTCTATTTCAAAAATTTTAATAAAATTTTCACATACCGCACTTATTAGCGAAGATCGAAGTTGTTCTAAAAGTTGCAAATCCTGTACAATTGGTTGTAATTCCTCCCATTTTAATTCAACTTTGTCATGTAGCATTTTCTCCTCTGTAGAAAAAGAAAAAAAAAGAAATTAAAAAACGAATATTCAGTAAAATTATTTACTTTTTTTTTTTTGTTATATTCTACTTGAAACTTATTAATATTTTTAATGAAGTAAAAAAAAAAAAAAAAATGAAATTGAAATATCAATTCAATAATATATTCAAGAAAAATATTTTTACCATCTCGTTTTGATGTTTGACTTTTGTATTGAATTCGGAATCGAAAGGCTTCGAGGAAACTTGATACCACAATTGTTAACACAATCATTGTAATTAAATAAAAAATCATAAAATACGCTCTCGTATAATTACCCACAATATGTGCATAAGCATTCATAAATATAAACCAATTATTAACAACTGTCAATTCAAATAAAGTCATTCCGCTTGCCACTAAATTATCAAACGTATTTAGATAATAATATCCCAAACTTGTTGTTTCATTTGCCGAGTATTTGTAAAAATCTTCCACTGTTGTATTTCTAAAAATAAAATAAATTAATTTCAATTAAATAATTCTTAATAATAATAATAGTTAATAATGATAAAATATTAATAGTTAATCAACCAACTTGCAACAATTTCTCATGTCATAATTGGCGAACAATTCCATTCCAATGATTGCGAAAAAATAGTATAAAATAAGCATGACAATTGCAGCGGAGCACATTAGTGGCGTTAGAATCACTAGTGTTCCAAAAACATCTCGATATCTTTTTTTAATTTTGAATAATCGTAATGTTCTCAATGGTCGGAAAACAACAAAAAATGTTGCAGTTGGAAAAATTGTGAGAATCACAGCAGCGACTAAAATCATAATCGATGCTCCCAAATCAAATAAATTCCATCCAGAACTCAAATATCTTCTCACACCAAGACCCAAAACTTTAATGAGTGCTTCGGCTGCAAAAACTGCATAAAAAAACAAAATCAGAATTATTCATAAAATAATTTGTCTAGCAAAAATTTATTTATCAAAAATAAAATAAAAAAAAGGTTATTTAAATTAAAGCTTCAAAAATCTATTTTATTGTTCAATTAAAATTATATTTAGTCTGTAAAAATAATTTGAGAACAGAGCTCGACTTTTTTTTTTTTTTTTTTTTAAAAGAATTATAGTTTTATAGTTTAAAATACGACTTTTTTTTGAGAAATTATATTCTAAATTCTACTTTAGTATTTTTCTATTATCAATTTGAATTTTTTTTAACTGTCATTCTGAATTAAAATGTTGAAAAAAGGGTGATTTTTTAAAATAGAGGGAAAATAGGGAAAACATTGTGAAGTCTGAAATTTGTGTCTGTTCTTCCTTGTGGATATTAATTAAATATTTTTTTCTGCAGTTCTGTAATGGATTAACAGAATACACAATTATTTTACGTATACTCACTTCCACCAAAGAGTAATGTGTCCCAATAGGCAGAAAATCTGTGCGCTGAATCGATTCGATCTCCTGAAATTTCTAATAAACGACCCACCATTGCAATACCATTACCTACGATGGCTGTGTCTATAAATTGAAAAACAGATTTAATCAAATCGAACAATCCCTTATGGACATTTCATGACTTTTTTTTTTTAAATATTAATTTTAATTAATTTAATTTGTCTTATATTCTTAAATTTAAAAAAAAATTAATTAATTTAGAGCGTATAAAATTATTCGTTGCTTACAAATTAAGGTATCAAAATAGGCCCACGAAATGGCAATATTTGCTCCTTTGCAGAGAAATTGCAATGGTTTCCAAGCAGTATGATACCAAGGAATGCTCGAGTATTGGGGTTCCCATGAGAGGACTGTCACATCATAGACGGAAAAAAATTCCTCCATACTAAGATAGCCTACATTCGATGTATTCATTAATTTAAACATTAAGACCACGTCTCTGAATGCTGAAAAATAAAGTAATTAAATTAAAATATAATTTAAGTTTAAGTAATTACCATAGTTAGGCAATTAACCACTAATTATTAAAACATTAAAATCACGTCTTTTGAATGTTGAATAAAATAATGACTTATTGTAAGCAAATTACTAAGTTGTAATTATTAGTTAAGCAAATTTATAGTTTAAGTCAGGGACAATTAGTCGAAATTAAAGAAACATTTTTGAAAAATGAAATATTCAAATGGAATTCATAATATATAATTACATAAATTAATAAAAATATTAATTAAAAAATACTAATAAAAATATTATCTATACAATAATCATGATATATTTAGTCATAAATGTTTAAATTTTTTAATTATATATATTATTTTTAAAAAAATTCCATTTGCTATTAAAATTGAAAAATTTCTCTTAATTTTTGTGATATATGAAATTTTATAAATAAAATAGAAACCAACATTTCTTTGGAGCGTAATATCGCATTAAACCCTCAAATTGACGGAAATTCATTCTATCTGGATTTTGTTTAGAAACCAAAAGTTTAAATGCATGCTGACATGCTTTTCGTTTGTGGAGAAATAATTTTTTAAATTTGTCTCGTTGAGCAGCAGTAAAAGTCTCATTTACCACGGCTAACATGAGATTCATCATTACGTACAACATTGTACAAAGATATGAGACAAAATAAATTGCATATAATTTATTTTTCGAGTAAGACTCCATCATTACGTCTGGAAAGCTGAAAAAAAAATCAAATTAATTTTTACCTGACAATTGTAAATATATTAATTATAAAAAAATAAATTAACAAATATAATAAAGAAAAAAAATGAAATAAAATATTAATAATAAATTAAAATAATAATAATTAATATTTTTTCATAGTAAAAGACTCTCATAATTGCTCTTCGCAATATCAATTATTTCCAAATATTGAAATTAAATTTTTATAAAAAAAAAAATTGTGCTAATGTTTTTTTTTCAAAAATTCTTAATTGGTAAGAATTGGTACAATATTGGTAAGTAAAAACAGTAAAATTAAAAAAAATAAATAAAAGTAAAGTAAATAAATTTGTTTTTAGAAAATACGAAAAATTATGAAAAAAAAAATTGTTATTTTAAAAAAAAAAATTGAAACCTACTTGGCCGTGGTGAGTAATACAAAAAGGCTGACAAAACTGTCTTCGAGAGTAGCAAAATGTGAATTCATCTCTCTAAACATATAGTATCCTAATACCATGTATGTTGTAATAAAAAAGAAAAGAAGTCCCAACATATCTAAAATTGGTGGTAATGTAAATAAAATTTGTCGAATAAATCGTCGAACTCCACCGCAATATTTAGTATCAACTAGAAATATTGGTCGTAATGCACGTGTCACTCGAAAATGTGACGATTGCCTGACCAAAATTGTCAATGCCTCCACAAACATAATCGCCAATGTGATACACTGAAAAAAAAATTTCTTTTTCTCAATACATCATAATACAGAAAAATCCCATCGATAAAAACAAATAATTATTAATAAATTTCTATTAATAATATAATATGTTTTTGTCATCATCCATGTTAATGAGCATAAAAAAAAAAAATTGATCTGAACCAGTAATAACCGGAAATGTAATCCCATAGAAATTTGCAAACAGACTTTTGTATTTCATCTTTGTTTGGTAATAATAATAATTATATTAAACATATGCGCACAGGTTAATTAGTAGTACATTATCAGCCTAAGTGGTTCAATGGCTCTTTACACACACGTAATAACAGACTTTATAATCTCTACCGGATTAATCCGGTGAGGATTTGTAACCCATTTCAAGTAACAATACAAATCTCAATCAATATTGCATAATAAATTAATTCCAAAACTTTAAAATTAAATAGCTTTTCTTTAAAGGGATTAAATAATTACAATTTTAAGAAGTAATTATCTTTTTTTTTTGTTTTAAATAAATTTTTAATGTATTTTTAAATTTTTGGGGAAAAATGAACGATAAATTACCTTTAGCATTGTACGTTTATGTTTTAACATCATTCCCCATCCTATCCATCTTAATTTTAATGCTAATTCTACTCCGATTGTCATCAATGCAAAAAGCTCGATTGTTCCATGTGCCCAGACAGGTAACTGAAAAATTATATATATATGTTAAATAATTAAAAATGTTATATTTCTTTTATTTTGATAGAACAAAAGAAAAGAAAATTTACGTTATTTAGGACTGAAAAATTATTTTTTCAATCTTATTAAGAATTTGAAATTATGCTAAATCGTGAAAAATTAGGAAAAAAATATTTTTTAACAATAGAACTCGAAATTTAGGAAAAAATTGAAATTTCAACTTTATTTATCATTTTTACGCTTTTTTTTATGATTCTATACAATTAATGGCATTAATAATAATTTTTGGTGATCTATTTAAAATTCAATTTCTTTAAAATGTTTTATTATTTTTAATTAACAATTTTTTGCTGAAACTTTTTTTCAAGATTTCGAAATAATGAATATAATTTATGAATTTTTTCAAAAATTTACATTATTCCCAAAAAATAGAAAAGATAAATAATTTTTTTTTTCAAAATTTCAATAGATAGAATAATTTTAGGATTCTATGAAGAAGTTGTCAAATTGTTAACGAAGTAAATTTCAAATTTTACGACAATTATTTAAAGTCAAATTAATCTCAAATTCATTTGGAAAATAATAAAATTTGTTGCCTTAAAATTATTTTCTTTTTAATAATTATTGAAAAATTATTTTATATCAAAAAATTATAATTTGCATATAGAAAAACAATTTTTCTTCTAATTCTTTGATCATAAATCTTGTAAATCTAACTGATATCTGAAATTAGTCTTTTCTTGTTTTTGTTTACTTTAAAAAATTTTTAAAATAATTTATAAATTTCTTTTTCTAATGTAAGCTTTTTTTAAAACTCTTTGACGCATTCTTAAATAATTAAACATATTAAATTCCAAACTATTCATTCTTAAATTAGCGAAAAAAATACTTCATAATTGAATTAAATAAGTCAACAAAAAAAAAAACATGAAAGGTAGATAATAATTTTAGATTTTTATATTAAAAAAATAACAAAAAATTCTTGAATTTAAAGAAATTATTAAAATTTATTTTTTTATTTATATCAATTTTTTTTTAAATTCGTTGTCTCCTAAAATTAATAATAGTGGAACTAATTTATGTAAGTTTATAAAAAATAAATTTTTTTAAAATTTTACTTGAAAAATTAAAACTACAAAATGATTTTATATTAATTAATTAATAATTATTATTTTTTATAAATAATAAAATGCGTTATTAAATAATTATTATTCAAAATGTGAATCTTTTGTATTATTACTTTTGCAAGAAAAATCTAAAAAAAAATTTTTTAATTTTACCTAAGTTACATTAATTGCAATTAGTTGCTTTTATTTTAATTGTAGAAGAAAATTTTTTTTTTTTGTTAAAAAAAATAATTTATTAATTTTTCTAAATTGTAGAATAATTTATATTTATGTGATTTTATCTAAAATTTTACTTTATATTTATGTGAATTAAAATTTATTTTTTGTTATTTACTTTGATTACTTTTATTAAAATTGAGGTGTATGAAAGAAGTGTAACGGAAGCACATTCTAAGCCGGAAGACAAAAACTATGTAGAATAAATAAATAAATAAATAAATATTTTTGTCATTTTCTTAATGTAATTTAAATTTTCTTTAAATTTAATCTGATTTATTTTTAATTAATTTAGATTTGGAGAAATTTAGAAATTTTTTTTCCTTAATTTAATTCCACTTATTGCTTCAGGTAAATTATTTAATTAAATAATTAATTAATTAAATAATCCTCTTTGATTTCTAATCGCAGCTTTTTTTCCGTTTTGCAATAAAATTTAATGAATAATTAAATAATTAAATAAAAAAAAAAAAAAAAAACTAATTAAATGTAAAGTGAAAAAAATATAAATACCCTAAAAAGTGGAACTGCTGGTTCTTCAACAAACGCTAAGGCTAGTAAAAGTAACGACGTTAACAAATCAAGGCCATAGTACCAATTATTATGAACCAGTAAATACGCAGGTAAATCCTCCGGATGTCTCGGATGAGAATCGAATTTTTCATTATTTCTGCCTTCCTAAAAAAAAAAAAAAAAATAAAAAATAAAATGTAAACAAATTTTAATTAAGAAACAAAAAAATTTCCGATTAATTAAAATTAATTACTTTTCATTTCTTTTTTTTTTTTTTTTGAAATAAACACTGATTTAAAAATTAACTGTTATTGTTTTCGTTTACAAAAATCTAAAGAAATATACATATATCAAATGAAGTCAATCAACTGTAAATGTAAATGGAATTATTTGCATTTATATTTTATGTATTGGAAAATATTTGAAATTAATAAATCAATATTATACTTACTTCTAAAAAAATTGAAGCTTCATGATAGTTCATTTCCCAGTAAATTTCCGTATCCATGGTCATGACCTGTCTTGAAAGTGCAACACTTTCGGTCAAAGTCTCACCTCCTAATCTATCCACTCCAATTCTATGGCCCATTTCATTTGGCGTTTCATTGTTGGCGCGCGATGATATTCTCGTTTGACTGTCTGAAGAATGGAAGGACAACATAGATCCATATTCTAAAAAACATGAAAAGGAAGGCATAGGCAAATGAAAGAGGATGCGTGTGCGTGTCCAAAACCATACCAAAAATGTGATCCCAAAGAAACTTTTTAATTTTACGATTAATAGGAATATATAGGAAAAATGCAAAAGCCTTTTTTTTCTATTTCTTTTCATCTTACAAGTGTTTCTTCTTGGCATAAATCATAATTTCTTTTTTTTCCATTGACGATATGAATGAATTCTGAAGGGTCATTATCCGATAAGATTCATTTTTTTTTTTTTTTTTTCAAAGATATATATTCCCACTGGGTCGAATTTTAAGGAAATGATAACTGCTATATTGAAGGAAATTATTATGAAATCGATATGCAATTTTATGTATATTTTTATTAGTTTGTGAAATTAAATTAAAGCAATATTTCGAATTGAGATAACAATGAAAAAAAAAAAAAAATGATTTATTAGACGTGTAGAGAAATTAGTGTGTATATATATAGTATATACAATTATGAGCGCTGAAAACGTGAAATTCGCGTGTATTACAATGACGTCAATAAATAGATAAGATTTTTACTTGCGATAATAACAAAAATCAGTGTATTAATAATTTATATTTAGGTGCGTCTATTTTACCTGATGTACTAATTAAATTAGTTGAATTAAAATTTAATTGTAACGTTCTACTTCTACAAATTTTATTTTTCAAAAGCATTATCAAAATAGTTATTTTTACTTTTATTCTCTAATATCTATTTTTTTTTTTTTTTTAATTATAAAGCATTCACATATGAAAAAAATGCATCATGCGGTTAAAAATTCTAAAATTATTTTGAAAAAAATTTTTTTTTATATATAAACAAAATGAAAATAACTCACTAGGACTGGATCCATCCTGATCGTAATTTGGATTTGTATTCTCGTTGAAACGTTGGTAATTGTCAACGGAATTAAAAATATTGTTGTTCATTTGTTTTATTGCTACAGAAAAATTGAAAATCTCGTTTCAAATTTCTTATGATCGCTTTATATGCGAGTATACTCCCACACATTCAACCTCCTATCGAAGACTAATTATTTTTTGTGATTAACTATATATGTATATATATATATACGGTTTGTGTCGCTGATTGTTATTGGATCAAACTTTTTCTTCGTGAATTCCTTGTTATATTACACTATACGAACATAATAATGTGTGCATGCATTATAACTGTATTATATATTCCTCAACACGTATTTTCACACATATGAAATACATTTATGGTTTTGTATGTCTACAATGCAAATGACAGCATTGCCTTCTCTCCTTCCGTCAAAATCAGCTGATCACTGAATTTCCCCTTCTATATTCGCGTTGCCTTTTCTAACCTCAAATTGATTATTAATTTGTGTGCTTTTTGTGCATTTTTATATTTTTGATATATGATTCATAAATTTTGAAAAATAGAAATAAGATTAGTTAACAAACAAACAAAAATTATCAAAAACGTCGATAAAATTATGAAAGAAAAGAATTTTTAAATTCAATATTAATATAGATATATATTAGTTTTTCGGAGAATTTCTAATTTATCAGATTTTTGGAATTGCAAAAGTAAAAAAAAATCAAGATCTGCCTAAAACTGAATATAAAACACTACAAACTATGTTCTAAAATAAAAATATATTAAAATAACATATTACTGACAAATCATGTTTAAAGAACTGAAATATTTTTTTTTTTAAATATTTTCTCAATGTTTATATATAAAATTATTATTTTCATTGGAAAAATAATAAATATCTCATAATTTGAATAATACCGCGTCTTTGAATATTAAGTATGCGCATGCGCAATTAAAGTGAATGATTTTTTTTAGTTCGAAAAACCATCACCAGGGAAAAGTTCTTTTGATCGTGTGATTTTGTGGTAAGTGAATGTTCATTATAAATATTTTAATGTTAATCCAATTAATCCTAGATTTTTAATAATTTTGGATATATAAAAACAGTGAAAAACAAATAGTGTAAGGTTTAATTATCATTTACTTATAATATTTTGTGATTAAATAATGTTCCAATGGAAGAATTTGAGTTTGTTGTGGAGCATGTCAAAATGCAATGCATTGACATTTTTTACAATTTTACGCTAAATTAATTGTTATAATTAATGTTTTAAAATTATTGTGTTGTGTTTTAAATTTGTTTTCTAACAGTTATTGTGTAATTTTTGCAAATTTTCTAAAATCAGTGCAAAAGTCAACTGAACATAACCTCAATAGTCAAACAGTGTGTTGTATAGGTTAAATTTACCAAGAGTTTTTTTTTTTTTTATTGTTTTTGTCTGCTGATAAATAATTTAAAGGATTAGTATAACTTGGATAATTGAATATTCTGTGATATAGTTTGATTACAATTTTGAAAATTTGAAATTTATTTTTTGAGATTATCTGTTGAAAAAATTGAAAATTGTAAATAATTCAACGTGGCGATTAATTATTAAGTTTTTGGAATTATTTAATAATTTATCGTTTTTGAAAGATAATAGTGAAAAAAAATTTTTTTTTTATTGCAGATGGCTGACACGAAAGTTAAACCTGGAGCAAAGGCTGCCCCAGCAGCAGCTACTCCTGCTAAACCAGGAGATAAAAAGAAAGCTGGTAGACCGAGGAATTACGATTTGGGAAATGGAGTTTATCGTTTCAGTAGAACTCGAATGTTCCACAAGAAAGCGATATACAAGTTTTTAGATAAGAAAACTCCAAAAACCGTAAGTAAAAGTTTCAAAGATTGTTTTTATTATTATTAAAAAAATTTTAAACTTTTGTTCTTAAAAAAAAAAAATTAATACTCCAAGTCCAATGATTATTTCGACTTTCTAATTAATCCCAACGGGGATAATAAACCCTACAAAAAAAAAAAAATTTTACACTATTACAATAGATTATAAAAATTATAACAATTTATATTATTAATTTTTCATAAATAAATTTTACAGAAAAAAACTGCATATTAGAATAAAATAAAATGTTTACTTCAAAATGGTTAAAAATTCTATTTTTTTAAATTGTTGATCAATGAAAGTTGCAAACATTTGTTTTTAGACAAAAAATGATAATAATTTGCACAGAAATTTTATTTTTTCTTCAAAATCGTTGATTATAAACAAAAATCAGTATTGAATGATTGAAGAAATTTCAATAATTTGATCTACAATTTGAAAATAATTTCACTTGGGTCTTTGATTCAATATTAAAAGATGATTTCAATTTTTTTAAGTAAATCTTGAACGAAATTTCAATTATTATATATTAAAATATAAATTTGTCAATTTAAAATCCATGATTCATTTTAAAGGCCTCGGATTATACAACTTTTTCGACTTTTTCCTACTTTTTTTTTTTTTGACTTATTTTAATAAAATGCGACTTTTTTTACAATTTTTTTTTACAAAAGTTTGAAACAAAATACAAATAAATATACCATACATATTTTTAGTATACAATGCAGATTTTCTTCATATCTTCTTTATTTCAATTATTTAACAAATTTTTCACTAAATTAATTATTTTTAATAATTTTCATGAAATTCTTCACAAATTCAATTATCTTAAACTATTTTTCAATTAAAATTTTTATGAAATTTAATAATTGTTTAGAATTTTTAAAAAATTACCAAAAATTTTAAATTCAAAATCACATAAAATTTATTTATTTATTTAAAACTTTTGGAATTCAATTTTTTTTTTTTATATGATTTCTAATAAATTCTTCATCAACAGAAATCACTAAAAATTTCTCTTAATATAATTATTGTTTGAAATTTAATACAATCTTTTGAAATTCAATTATATTTTCAAAAATTTCAATTTAAAAGCTGCTAAAATTTAATTATTTCTAAAATTTTCCATCTGAAATTTTTTAAAATTTAATCATTTCAATTATAACTCTCCTGAAATTTAATTATTTTTAATGATTTTTATAATATTCTTTAAAAATTCAACTATCTGAAACCATTTTTCACTAAAAAAAAGTTTTCAAATTATTATATTTTTGTCTGCAATTTCTATTAAATTTTTTAGTAATAGAAATCATCAAAAAATTTTAATTAAAAATCACTTGAAGTTCAATTAATTTCAAAAATTTAAATTGTAAATTTTTGAAAATTCAATTACTATTAAAAAATGTTATCTTAAATTATTTGATAAATTATTTATTTCACTCTCGTCAGTTTTTAACATAATGCTAAGCATTTAGAAAAATAGTGAACATTGAACAATAATAATATAAAAAAAATATGTACGGTAAAAGTAACACATCTTTAACAAAAATGTACATTGATATGTTATTCAATTTTGCTGAAAATTTCAAACGATTCTCTATCATTAATTATTTTAATCTAATCACCTTAAAAGATTATTTGATTATTAAAAGTCTTTTGTTCAAAAGTTATTAATTTTTTTTTTTTTTTTTTTAAATAAAAGAAAGTATGTAGGAATATCAAAATTTATAGTGCGATTTTAAATTTTTCAGTCAGGCAAAAAACTAAGAAATTTTGAAAATCAATTTTTGGAATTTATTTACTTTTTTCTGAATCTTGAAAAATTATTGTTATTTTATTTATTTATTTATTTTTTTAAGGTAAATGCATCATATACCAAAGTCATGACGCATAATATTTATAAGCGATTGTGAAACAAGTTGGTGCGAGAAAAAAAAGAACATATGCAGAGCGGCTCATAGGCACAAAACTCTGTGAATCGCTTTGAATATGTCCAACATTTATTTATCTAAAAAAAACTTTCGATCTTTAATAAATTTTCTAAATGTTCATATATATTATAAAAAAAGAATTCTTATCTCTATTTGTATAAAAGTTATTTTAATTTAACTAATTGTTAGTAAAATCTCGGTTTTAGAAATTAGTGAAACATAAATAATAATTATTCAATAAAAACATAATAATAATATAATTATTAATCCATTCTAGTTAGGTTTTAAAGATTTGTAATTTCTTTTTCTTTTTTTTTTTTGTTTTTTGATTAGGTTAAACCCAAAAAGCCAACCACTGTCGAGAAGAAAATCGGTGGAGATAAAAATGGTGGAACTCGAGTTGTTCTGTTGAAGAAGAGGAGAGCTAGTTATCCTACTTCAGATCCAGTGTCAGTTCACCACGCCAAAACATGCTTTAGGGAACATAATCGTTATATCAGACCATCTCTTAAGCCTGGTACGATTTGCATTCTTGTTGCTGGTCCTCATAAAGGAAAGCGAGTCGTTCTCTTGAAACAACTGAAGAGTGGACTTCTTTTAGTTACTGGTAAGTTAAAATTTTCATTAATAAAATAAAAATATCCTCTTTTTACTTCAATTAAACACTTAGAGAAAAGCTATATTTGTCTAAAAGCAAAATAAATATTTATTTCTTTCAAATACATTTTCTTTGTTTCAAATAAATTTTATTTCTTTTAAATAAATTTTATATGCATTAAATAAAATTTGTCCTACAAAAATGTTTTTATTTAAAAAAAAATTGAAAAGATATTAGGACCTGAGAAAGCAATATATTTTTATTTAATTCGAATAATTTTTATTTGTCCTGAATAAACGCAAATAAAAGATTTTCGTCGTGTGTAATATTAAGACTGTTTACTAAATCAAGCCTCGGATTGAAAGACTTTTTTGACTTTCTCCAACTTTTTTTTTTTTTTTTTTTAAATGCGATTTTTTCGACTTATTTTAATAAGATGTGACTTTTTCGACTTTTTTTTTAATAAAATTTTTTTACAAAATTTTGTTAATAAAATACGACCTTTTTTTAGTACCTATACAATGCAGTTCTCTCAAAAATTTAATTAAACAATTTTTTATGCAACTAAAATTCTTCGCTAAATTAATTATTTTCAATAATTTTAATAAATTTCTTGAAAAATTCAATTATTTGAAAATAATTTTCAATTATTATTTATTTATTCATTTATTTACATTTAAATATTATTAAAAACTCAACAATTGTTTGAAATTTTTTTAAAAACAAACTATTTCAGCAAATAAAATTACCAAAAATTTCAATTTAAAATCACATGAAATTCAATTATTTCAAAAAATCTAAACTGTATAATTTTAACCAATAATAATTTCCATCAAGTTCATAAAAAAAAAAAAAAATTTTTTTTTAATTAAAACTCTGTTTTTTCAAATATTTTAATTTGAAATCTTTGAAATTTAATATTACTTCTAAAATTTTCAATATATAAAACTTTTGATATTTAATTATTTCTAAAAATTTCATTTACAATTCTTTTAAAATTCAATTATTTAAAAAAAAATGTTATCTTAAATTAATTTTTAACTTATTGTCAATTAATAAGTTTCATGATAGAAAATTAAAGTATTTAAAACATTTTTTAAATAAAAATTTTGTAAAATTTAATTATTGCTTGAAATTTAAAAAAATATTTAAAAATTAAAATTTTTTAAAACTTAAAATCTGTTAAAATTCAATTATTTTCAAAAATTTCAACAGTTTCTCTTCCAAAATTCAAAAATATAAAATTTTTTTTTAATTAGGTATTTTTTTTTTAAATTCAATTATTTTAAAATAGTTTCAATTAAAAACTTTCAAAATTTCAATTGTTGTCAAAAATAAAAAAAATAAAAAACTATAGCAATTCAAGTCTGCAAAAATTTATTTCTATTTAAAATCTTCTGTAATTCAATTATTAAAAAATCATTATTAAATTATTATTATTATTATTATTATTATTCTTATTCTTTTTAAGGAAATTATAAAATTAATTTAATATCCAATAAGAATAGTAATTTGAAATAAAATATTTATTAATTAATTAAATTTATTAAAAATAAAAAAACGATTTTTTTTTTACTTTTTTTAGAATGTATATCGACTAAAACAACTTCTTTTGCAACTTAAATTAGATCCGAGGCCTGTTAAATTCAAAAATTAAAATTTTCTCAATTATCCAATTTATAAAAAAAAAAAAATTGTTCACTTTCATTTTTTTTTTCAGGACCTTTCTTGATTAATGCTTGCCCATTGAGAAGAACAAGTCAAAATTACGTTATTGCAACATCAACGAGAATTGACATGTCAAATGTGAAAATTCCCGATACTCTTAATGATGATTATTTCAAGAGGAAACGTGAAAAGCGCGCAAAGAAAGAGGAAGGTGATATCTTCAGTAAAAAGAAGGAGGCATACAAACCTAATGATCAAAGAAAGCAAGATCAGAAAATTGTTGATAAACAAGTTATCGCTGCAATTAAAAAACATACGGATAAGAAAATGCTCTTTACCTATTTGTCGGCGATGTTTGGTTTACGTAGCAGTCAGTATCCTCACAGAATGAAGTTCTAATTCAGTAATGTTGAGAGAATTTGAAAATAAATTTTTTAAAATTCAACTTGGTACGTTTTTGAAAAAAAAAATAATTTTTTTTTTTTTATATACTTTTAAGACGATGAAGTTTACTTGACATATTTCATGGGCAAAAAAAGTAATAGTTGCAAAATTTAATTTAAGTTTGAATATTTTTTTTTTTTTTTATTAACGAAAATGTTCAAATATTTAACAAAATTGTGCAACAGTTTTTTTAAATAGTTTTTTTTTTAACGATAAACAATCTAACGTATTACATTAGTAAAATTTAACAAAAAAAAATTGAATTGAACTAGTTTGTTTTTGCGGATTTGTTTCTTGTGCCCTTGACTTGTGTCGAATTTTTTGCTTTTGACGCTTGTATTTGTTCAAGGAAATCTGCTTCTAATTTAACGTAGGTCCCACCTGAAAAATATTTTATTAATTCTATTTTTCCGTCGGAAGTTTTTCACTGGAAAAATAATTTAAAAAATTTATGATCGGGAAACTTTGCATAAAGTTTTTTAAACGAAAAATTATAATTGAAAAAGAAAAATATTTTTTTCATCTAAAACGTGAATTTCACCGACATATATATTTTTTGAATATTAAATTTTTCTTTTAACATTCTGATACCTATAGGCGCGTAAATATTCCAATAGTATCCATGCAATTTTCCGTGTTGATATGTTTTTGACATTAATCCATTTTGAAATAATATTCTTTTTGTCAGCATAGTAATCATTTGAGCCGCGGCTTTTTCTTCGAAATCCCTCTGATTGTCTTGATTATAGCGAGTGAGTAAATTTGCACTCCACGATCCACCACCATCACTTCTGTTAACAATTTTTCTTTTTTTTTTTTTTTTGCATTTATATATTTTGAGAAAAAAAAACAAAGAAATTCTCACCTTTTGAAAGGACGCGCCTTTGTTTTATGTCGGCTTGATTTAAGTGATGGCAAAACATTTGATTCCTCGCTACTTAGTGTATCGTCATCGAAACTGCTGTATTTGCAACCACTTGTTAAATTGTCATCATCACTTTCGGTTTCGGATGAAACCAATGACGAAACATCTGTCGTTTGTGATGATTGACGTCCTTTACTCATTATTTTCTCGAGTGGCGCACAAGGTTTACGTAGTCCTGAACCACTCCAAATTTTTCCTTTAATTAATTTAAAGAAATTATTAGGATTTAGTTGAAGAAACTAAAAATGTGAAATTGTGACAAAAACCACAAAGTTATTAGATTGATTTTTTAAGACAAAAATTTAGATTTAAATTTAAGAAACCTAAAAGAAATTCTAGTTCCTATTTTCTTAAAAGAAAAAAGTCGATTAGTCTTAAATTTTCATTTGTAAATAATTTTTTTCGAATTATTTTTCATGTAATTTTCAATTTTTTATCTCGTTGTCTCTATTTAAAAATTTTTTCATTCTTTTTATTGAGAAACTGAGATTTTTTCCAACAAACTAAGTAAATTTAAAAATAGAACATGGAAAAAAGGTAAAAGAAAATGTTTTTTTTTTACATTTTTTTCTCAAACCCATTTTTATTTTTATATTAATATTGTTTATTGAAAAAAATCTTGGCTTTTCAATTTTTTAATAAAAATAAAAAAATATATATTTATTAACTAATTTTAAGAATTCAAAATATTGACTTTTATTTTATTTTAATATTATTCAAATAAAACGATTTATTTTTTTTTTGCATGGCTCAAAGTTAATGTTAGGGCTGTTTTAATTGGCTAGTTGAATTTTTAAAAAGAGACACATACCAAGTAAACCGAGTTTCTGTCGTGGCGGTACCAATTCAATTCCTTCCCACCACATAGTTTCTTTACACGATAATTTTCCAAGCGGTATCAAAGAATCACGCGCCGCCAGTCTTGTTATTTTTTCTGGAAAAAATAATTGCGGCGGTTCTATTACTATCAAATCCCGATGATTTGCAAATATATTCAAAGTGCCTTCATCTTGTGCCGATTTTAAAAGTGGTATGTGTTCCTGAAATTAGACAAAAAATTAATAACAATTTTCAATCATTTGAATATTTAAAATAGTTCTCGTTTCGACAAATTCTATAGATTTTGAAAAATACAATTTTTCAATCATTTGAATATTTAAAATAGTTCTCGTTTCGACAAATTCTATAGATTTTGAAAAATACAATTTTTTTTTTCCTATTCTATTTAACAATATTTTGTTTACTGTGAAAGAGTTTTTTTTATTTTCTCCAATTTTACAGACCTTGGAGTGTGTGACTTTTTTTTTTTAATTCTAGTTTTTTTAATATTCTGAAAATTAATTAATTTTTTTTTCTAATTAGGTGAAATCGTACCCGAAATTTGCATCCTTCTTTATTAGGCAAAGCTTCAAATCTATAAGCTCTTTGACTACAACATGGATATCTTCCTAGTGGAAATGGTGTTGCTCTTTGTTGTTCGAGTACAAAAAATTGTGGAACTTCCGAATGATAGGAGCACCAATCCATTTGATTAATTGGAAAATAATTTCCACATTGTTGACATGAAATAAAATGACAATCGCCCCATAATCGCCAATAAACTTTTCTCCACGATTTCAATTCATTTCGAAGCAATGTAATGTAATCATTCAAATTCCAAGCAGGATCCCTTAAAATATTTTCAATTATAAAAAATTGAATTTTTATTCAACTTTTGATGTTTCGAAACTTTTTTTTTTTTCAATTTTCGATTACTTTTTCCAAAATTTTCTTTGAATCTAATTAATTTGACAATTATTACTGTTTTTTTTTTCATTTTTGTAATTTTAATACCTTGTGTGTCTGCTGTGTAAATTTCCTCTATTATCAAGTAGCATGGCACTTGGAATACAGGGGACAAAATTGGAAATTGATCTCACTATATATTTACCGCATTTACCACATTTGAATAATGTGGCTAACGAACTAAAATGTCCTCGTTTATTATCCGGTGTTGCTTCACCCAAGGATATAATTAATTTGCAAAATAATCGACTTTGTATTTTGTCCTTTTTATCTTTTACAATTTCAAGATCCGAATTGCTAAATAAATTTGCTAATCTTGAGTAGAAAATAAAAATTTCGATTTTAAATTATTTTCATTAAATTCATGGAAGAAGATAAATATTAAAATTTTTTTTTATTACTAAGTAATTTTATTTTGTCGCCGTGATTAATTAAAAAATCAAATTATATTACTTTGCAAGAATTATTTTTTATATTTCTCGAATATAAAAATTAAAAAAAAAAAATTGTAGCTATTTTTTAATTGAAAATTGACATTTTGTTGGATTTTTTCAATTTTCAAATGTTAATCTATCGAAGAAAAATGAAAAAAAAATTTTTTTTATAAAAATACAAAATATTTCCTGTAAATAATAATAATTTTTTAAAATTAGTTGAAGTGGTTAAAATAAATTAAATAATAAATTAATAAATAAAATTAAATAAATAAATTATATTAATTATTAGATTCTATATTATAAACAAACCTTGTGAGAAGATTGTCATTTAAACAAGTCATTACTGTCGAAGTTTTTAATACTTCAGACATATTGTGATAACTGTAATTAAGACAAGTCTCAGTTAATGGATCCATTTGTAAAAAAGAAGCCGATACCATTATGGGAATAACATTATTTGGCTCGAGAATTGGCCATTCGGATTTTTTAATTAAATCCTTTTTCACCCATCTCATTAGCCAATCGAAAATTACTATATCACAATGCACGGATATATCCATTTCTTCTAGTTTTTGACCGGCAGTCACATCAGCGAAATAACACATTTTTTGAATTAATAATTTTTGTGGACAACGAAAATCTTTTTTTACATTTTTCGCTTCATCACATACATGAATTTCTATCTCGGTACTGGAAAAATAAATTTTTTTAACTTTTTTTTTTTTTGAGAAACATGAACAAAGCTCTAAAATTAATTTGATTTATTTTACAAAATAAAATTGAAAATTAATTAATTTATTAAATTAAAAACCAAATAGTTATTACTGTTTTAATAATTCTAGCTCTTCTCAAATACAAATTTTTTTTTTTTGAAAATTTGAATCTAAAAAGGCTCTTGCAAAATAAATTATTTTCAATAATTTTTAAAAAATTATTTGAAAATTCAATTATTTATAACATATTTGTAAAATTAAATATTCTCCAAACTTCAATTAATGTCTAAAATTCTTTTTAAAAAAAGTTTTTAGCAATTTAAATTTTCGAAATTTTCAATTCAAAATCTCCTTAAGATTAATTCTTAAAATCTGGACTGTAAATTATCTTGAAATTTAAATTTAATTTACAAAAATTATTTTCAAAAATTATTTAAAATTCTTCGGCAAATTAATAATTTTCAATAATATTAATCAATTATTTTGAATTCAAATAATTTTTGTCAATTTATTCTTATAATTTAATTATTTAAAACATTTTTAGTTAAAAATTCTTCAATTTCTCATAAAATTTTTTATTTTTAAAAAGTAATTGGAATTTTTTTTTTTTTTTTTTTAACCATTTCAACTTTAAACTTTGAGAAAATTCTGAATTCATAAATAATTTGCATAAATCGGACACGAAAATTTTTTTTTTTTTAAAAATAAAATTTTTGAAATTCTACGATTAATAAAATGAATTTAATATCTAATATCAATAGTTAGTTGAATTAAAATATTTATTAACCAATTAAATTTTGTTAAAATAAAAAAAATCGACTTTTTTAAGAATATAAATCGACTAAAACGACTTTTTTTTGTATGCCTTACAGTCGATCAGAGGTCTGTAATTCTTTTACTGCCGAATTTACATTTGACATAAGGAAAAATTTTTTTTTTTTTTTTGTTATTTGTCAGAAAAATTGAAAAATTTACTCTTTACACTTACTCGCTAATTTTTTTGTCCTTATCTTTAAATAATGATGTCGATGATTTGGATTCCAAATTATTGGTGGAAAGTGTTTTTTTTGTATTATTATGATTCGCTGATGATTTTTTAATAGCGGGCTGAGAAGCAGCTGTTTTTGGCACCATATAAGGCAGCACAGAATCCAATAGACCTTCATGAAGAACTTCACTTAATTTTTTTTTCATCGATTTTGTTAAAAATGTTTCAGTTTTATTTTCCAAATTTTCAATTGATTTTTTTCTCATTTTCATTGATGTTTCGGCTCGTATTTTTTTCTCTTCTTTCTCCTGATGATGTTCCTTAATTTCACTTGATGTTTTACTTGTAACAACATTTGTTGCTTCATTCTCATTATCCTAAAAAAAAAAAGAAAAAAAAAACATTATTTTTGAATTATTAAATTCTTTATTTTTATTATTCGAAAAAAATTGGGTAAAATATTTTATTATAATAAATAGCATTTATAAAGTGATTCTAATAATTTTTTTTTATTCTCACTTGATTTTCATATTTTGGTGATGTTTTTTTTGAAATTTGCGGTGAATTAATATTTTTTGTACAATTTTTCGAATTATTTTCTTGTTTTTGAATTTGTAAATTTTCAATTTCTATACTTTTATCGTTATCTTCATCATTTTTTATTTGTGATTCTTCGGGAGTGATTTCTTCGTTTATTACATCTAAATCAGTTTTCACAAGAGAATTCCAATCAATTGCACTTTTTTCACTTAACAATGAATTTAAATCAAAACAATTATTTACTTGATAAGCGGTTCTCATAAAATCAAGAAATGTTTTCATTGATATTTCTGAATATTTTTCATCTTGAGGTGATTGAATTCTTTCAGGTAAATTTTTCTTTAAAGTCTTTTGTACATTTGGTAAAGGGGAAATTCCTTTAAAATAAAGAAATTAATTATTTAATCAAAAAAGAAAAAAAAAAAGAAAATACAAATTTTTTATGTTTAAAAATAATCTTACCTGTTTCTGTTTCTTTTACTAAACTTGAATACATTGTAAAGTTTTCCTTTATAAAAATGAGTGAATAATAAACAGACTTTTTGACATTTTATTATCAATATTGTATAAAATTGTACAAGATGAAAATTTGTAATTAAATATTTTAATGTATAGTGGAATAAATTATAATATTAACACACGGTAGAAATTTTTACATTTTTTTTTTTTTTTTTTTTTTGTAAATTGAAAAAAAAAATTAAATTTTGAAGATAATTTGACAGGGCTTAAAGATAGGCTATGAAATACTACTTCTTTGGTATCCAAGGCGTAGGATATAGATCAAACACTGGGCCTTCAAGAAAAACTTTAGTAACGAGAAAAACTAGTCATCGATGTTTTTTTTTTTGGGAATTCCATTTACTTTTAGGGGAAAAAAATCCTTATTTTTGTAAACAATGAAAATATTACTTTTAATTAAAAACACATTTATGTAAAAATTATTGGTTAATTATTATTATCGCTGTTATTGTTTGTATATATAGGCAATTAACGAAAAGTGTAAAAAATTAAAAAAAAATTAATTTGTTTATAGTTTATATAATTGAATTAAAAAATATATTCTATTTATTTAATTCACAAAATTAAAATAGAATCACTAATCGAATTTAACCTTCTAAAATTTAATAAAAAAAAAAATCATCTTGAAAATGATAATTGAAAAGAGAAGCGTCAAGTTGGCAACACTGAATTAAAATTTTTTAAAGTGTGGGAAAAATAAAAATTTTTATTTTAATTTATCAATATAAAAATTATTATATTATAAATTTTAATTCACTTCTCGTTCATTTTCATCCCAAGTATTGAATTTATTCTATTTTTAATTTATTTTTCTAATAAAAATAAAAAGTGAAAGAAAACACACTAGATGGAGCTTAATGACTGCAACTGTATAATATATATATCTACTAATATGCATTACTGTGCATGACATCAATGAGCATGCGGGGACTCCGTTGTTGGTCTTCGGAGGGGACAGTTGTGTTTCTTTGATATAGTGAACGGCGATATTATTTTATTCGCCTACCCTAGTTTTTTTTGTTTCCGAGCATCAAGTTTCTATTATCTACCTATATTTAAATTTAAATTTGTGTGTGTCACATAGTAGTACTTTTAAATATTATACTTTTATTGAGTGCACGTGGCCGGCTTAGGTTATGTCTTCGACAACCGGTGTGTGCGTTTCGAGTCTGCGCATCTAGTGAAGTGGTCCCGCCATATCGAAAGTGTTACTTTTAACTAATTTCACGGCCATTCAAACACATGGGCTAAACGAAGTGGTTCCAGCACATCGACTAGTCATCAACGACCTGACGTCATATTCACCCGCTTTCACGGATAATTAGACGTACGGTATGTTTGTCTTGCTGCTTTCTCCTGTTTCCGTATAACTTTACCTTTTTTTCTTTTTGAACTTTCGAGGGTTTTAAGTAACATTTATTTAATTAAATTTAAATTTACACCTTTACAATCTCTAAAATTTTTTCTTTTTTAAGGTTGATGGGCTTCTTTAAATTTTTTTTTCTTTTTTTTTTCTCAATGGGATTATACGGCAGTACAGGCTTTTGGATATAAATGAAAATATAAATTAAAGAAGGAAGGAAGAATAAAGAAAACAACAAAATATATTAAATTTTATTTTTATTTTTTTTTGTTTTCTTGGTTTTATATAAATTTTTAAGCTAAATTTGTATTAAGATTGATATTTCGTGCTAAATTATTATCATCTGAAATAAATAAATAAATAATTCAAGTGAATAAAAAAAGAAATGATTTCTAATTTAAATTGTTAGAGTTTGAATGGTCTCAGTCTCGACTTAATGTAACTGCTAAGCACTACACTTTTTATGAGTCTGATTTTTCGGTTGAATGTTCGAGACTGGGTCCATCCCTCACTCTCTTGTACTTTTATTCATCTCTTACACTCAATGAAGGTACGCAGTGAGATGTATCCTGTTTACTGATTGGCTTGTTTCTCTCGGACCCTACTAAAGTTGAACTATTTGTTTAATGGCTTACTTAATTAAGTTAAATTTATGAACGAAATGTTCCATAAACTCATTATTGTTTTAAGTTGAGGCGGATGCGAGTTTGGGGCCTATCACAGTTCCGGGACTTTTATACATATTTTGAATAAATAAATAATTTTGATAAATAAATAAATAAATATTACATATTTGATTAAATGGCTATATAGATAAGGAAATGGGTAATAACTAATTGAAACTTTAGAGAAATAGAATCTTTTTCCATGGTCAAAATGTTTTCCCCCTGATTCCCAATTTTTTGGGACTGGTTAGCACGTGCTTCTTTTCACATGTCTTCCCCAAGTAATTCCGGGCCGGGTCAACCCCGCGCCAACGCTCAACTAGTTCTGGATAAATTCAGACCTTTACTGGACGGACGTAACTCTTCTAGACCGGGATCGTCCGAATCATTGAACTCAGCTTCTGCGTCTCAATCTCTGACTTCGACACTTACATCTTTGTCACATCACTCGGAAATTGGGTTCGCTCGTTCGGAGAGTGACATCAATGAAATTGACAACTCGAACAAACGCAATTTGTCCCTCTCTCCTAATCACATTTCACCGAGCAATCCTATTGGTGCAGATGTCAGGAAAAGGAGTAGGAATGATATCCCCTCTCCTACTCAACTCGCAGAGCGAGTACCACATAGATTTGATTCGGGTAACAGGCCTAGTAAACGGAATGCTAAACGTCCGGATGAGGATCTCAATAACCCTGAACTGTATTGGGCTGCAGATGTCACTCATATGTTTACCCAGTACAGTGAAGACTCTGAGGGCCCTTACCTTGTTTTGATGGAATCCACGAACCCTAACCAAAATCTTGGTAAATATGATCCTCTAGCGATAGGTAAATTAATAGCAGAGGTTACTAGAGGCGAGAGACGTATCCACGTTACAGGGAGAAACCAAATAAAGATATTTTGCGTTAATCTGTCGGATGCTAATGCGATTCTGTCTTCACACTTTCTCATATCTTCTGGATATAAAACTTTTATCCCAGATTCTGTGGCATACAAAAAAGGTTTCATCAGGGCGGGTATACAACTTTCGGTAACGGATATCATCGTGAATTTAGATGCAGAAACTCTTAACATCATTGTATCCGCAAAAAGAAGACGCTCCAGGGCTGATAACAGCCTGCTTGATATTATTGATCTGGTCTTTAGATCGACCACTGTTCCGCGTTTTATATATGCTTGGAGCTCCCGCACGTTTGTTACTCCCTCCATTCCCATCCCAAAACGATGTTATAACTGCCAAAGATTTGGCCATGTTTCCTCACAATGTAAAGCATCTTTATCCACTTGCGAACATTGTGGTGATTCACATCAATCAGAGGGTTGTACGAAACCGGCTTCGTCGGACTTCTGTGTGAACTGTAAGGGCAATCATAAGGCTTCTTCTAGCACTTGTACAGTCTACAGAAATGAGTTCGAGGTGATGAAACTTATGTACTTAAAAAACATCTCAGATGCGGACGCTAGATCCTTGCTCAGGGATAGGGGTGGTTTTATTAAGAATTCAGTTCATTCTCCTACAATTCCAGCTACTGTTTCATCGATTCCCTCTGCTTCAACATCTCACATACCTTCAACATCTGATACTATCAATCAACCAATAGATCCCCATTTTTCATTTGTTCAACCTATAGATTCCGTACTTAATCCCAGTGATTCTACTCACAATCAGGACATTTTTCTTTCACCTAGAGACCCATCCCTCAACAAAAATAGCACGATTCGGTCAGATCTGGACAGTGACACGACGATGCACTCCCTGGATGATTCAATTGAGGAAGATTATCAGAAGGATGATCTTAATGAGCCTTTAACCTCCTGGAGTAACATAAAGGATGTCACAGAGAACGTCGGTGAAATTCTCAAGGCCAATATCACTCCTGCTCGTAAGAACCAAGCTTCACGTAACTCAACTCAAACTACAGGTGATTTGGTGCCCTCTCATCTAGAATTTGATCGTGTTTAAACTTCCCTTATATTCCATACCTCCGTTCGCGTGCTACTAGTCCCACACCTAACTCTTATAGCTTGTCTTATTTTATTACACTTCTGCACAATACCTCAGGATGCCCCATCCTAATTCTCATCGTTCTTTGAGATGTGGCACTTGGAACGCTCGCAGCGTTCTGAATAAACGAATTAATATAGAGACTCTTCTGTTTGACCTAAATATGGACATTTTATCAATTACCGAATCTTGGCTATCGGGCCACAATCAAAGATGGGATGTTAAGGGATTTCGATCCTTAAGATGCGATCGTCCACTCCGTCACGGTATCGGGGGGGGTGGCACGATGATTTTGGTTAAGAGGGATATTCTCGTGGAAATGCTGGATCTCCAGGGTTCATGGTCTGACGTGATGGAAGCTGTGGGTATTAGAATAAATTCCAGTAGAGGTCCTCTTTTTTTTATCTCTGCCTACATATCTCCCTCAGCGAAAGTCTCTGCGGAGCATTGGATGGAACTTATTTCTCCTATCCCAGCAGATAGTAACCTGGTTCTTTTGGGAGATTTTAATGCCCACTTGCCTTTTTTCCCTCCATACCGTCTCAACCCAAGAGGAAAATCTCTCATGGACCTTATTGAAACAAGAAACTTAATAGTTATGAATGAGGACATTCCCACCTATAGATCCCCGGCGAATGGAGCAGAAAGTGTTCTTGATCTTATCCTCTTATCGCCTGCCATGGCGGGCTTTTCGTTCTCGGAAACTCTTCCCGACCATTTCGGCAGTGATCATTTTCTTGTCTCTCTCACCATTGATCTGGAAACTCAGTCTGCCTGCAATAGCTCACATAGGCTTAGACTGGACAAGGTGGACTGGTCCTACTTCTCCATTCTCTCGGATCACTTTATTGATTCTCTTCCGCCCTTTAGAAATTCTAATATCAGGGAGCGCTACGACTCGTTCATCGAATCCATTATCCGCAACCTAAAACAGGCTGGGGCCTATCTACCAAGCGCCTCCAGAAGCCGCTCTCCGATCAAACCTACCTGGTGGTCGCCGGAGTGTGATGGAGCTTTGGCGGATAGAACTTTGGCCAGGAGAAACTACATCTCTGATCCCAGTACGTCCAATTACGAGGAATATTTGAGGGTTGTAGAGAGGTCGGGCTCTATGTTGAAGAACATCAGACTGGAATCATTTAAGCTTCTTTGTAGCTCTATTTCTCCTCAGATGGGCTCTAAAAGAGTTTGGGGCTTGGTCAGAGCCTTCCAGGGCAAGCTGCCCCCCACCATGAATGCATCTAATGACCCTGACGCAGCGGCTTTCGCGGATTTGAAGAGAGAAATTGTTAGGGAAGAGGTTTCCCCTATTGAATTTCAGATGATGCCGGTGTTGCGAGAGGAAGACCCGTACAACCTCCCTTTTTCACGCGATGAATTGAATTGGGCCATCAACCTATGTAAAAAGGACTCTGCGCCTGGAAAGGATCAAATTCCGAATATTATTTTTCGCAAACTTCCCCTCTCAAGTCTTGAAGAGTTGAGGGATATCCTTAATGTGTGCTTTCGCTTTTCTATCTTCCCTGATTCCTGGACGGAATCTTTAGTTAAATTTATCCCCAAACCTGGGGGCAAGGGGTACAGACCAATCTCTCTTACTTCTTCAGTTGGCAAGCTAATGGAACGCTTAATTCAAAAAAGGCTGGATCACTATGTGGAATTTAACCGCTTGATTCCCCCCCACCAGTTTGGTTTTAGGAAGAACAGGTCAGTTACCGATTGTGTCTCGGTTCTTGTGGTTGATGTTCTCAAGGGGTTCACCTTGGGCCGGGGTACGGCTGCCCTTGCTCTCGATCTTAAGGGGGCTTTCAATGCCCTCCTTCCTTCTAAGATTCTTGACCATCTTGCACGCTGCGGTACTCCGACAAGGTTGAGAAACTTCGTCGCACACATGGTTTGTAGAAGGAACATCTCATTTAAGGAGGACGACCTAAGGACCTATGAATGTGGGGTTGGAGTTCCACAGGGAGGCGTTCTCTCCCCGTTGTTATTTAACTTAGCTTTGAGAGACATTTGCTCACGTCTTCCACCAGGGGTGCGAATTCTTCAATACGCCGATGATATACTACTTTACTGCCGTTATACTTCCGCAACGGACGCCCTAAATCTCTTGGCTCAAGCAGTGCGCTCTCTCTCTCCGTGGTTGCTTGAGGCTGGTCTTAACTTTTCCCCTTCGAAGAGTCAGCTCTGCCTCTTCGATAGAAGGTCTCTTGTTGATCAGCAACTTCGCCTGGAACTAGAGGGTCAGGAGATCCCTATTGTCGATTCCATCATGTATCTGGGTATCCTTCTAGACTCCAAGCTTTCTTGGAAACTGCACATTGAATACATTGCTGCGAAAGCTTTCAAAGCTATCAACGTTTTAAAAGTGCTGGGAGGAGTTTCCAAGGGCGCAAACCCGGAAACCTTACTACTGATTTACAAGGGGCTGATTAGGGCTCATTTGGAGTGGGGTTCTATTCTTTTCGCCGGAGCTTCCAAAAGCACGTTAGCAAAACTGGATAAAGCGCAATACAGGGCCTTAAGGTCGGCTTTGGGTTTTATGCGTTCCACTCCGATCCCTATAGTTTTGTCAGAAGCTAATGAACCTCCTCTCCACTTTAGAAGGAATCTTGCCTTGCACAGAAACGCGATTAGAATTTGCTCCTGGAGTGATAACCCTACGGCAAAAAGGCTTGCCCATTTGGATCTAAAAAGCAAAAGTCAACGAAATTTTCCTAAGTACGCCTCATCCCTACCTTTGCTCGTCCACCTCAGACCTACTTATGATATTTTTGATACACCCAAAAAACCGAGTCGGCCTGGATACTACAACCAAGTTTGGTCTGACCTGATGTTTGAGCTGTCTCCTCTTATTGATCTCAAGGAGGGGTTTAATATCAGGAGATCAAAGTCACATCAGACTTCTTTAAACGATTTTCTCCAGGCGCGATATCCGAACTTTACGTCTATTTTCACAGACGGGTCGTACAAATTGTCTAATGACGAAGCTGGTGCCAGTTTTTTCGTTCCAGGTCTTAATTTCAGGCATGGCACTAAAGTTAGGGGCTGCTTTTCGTCTACTTCTGTGGAGCTTTTCGCCATATTTCAGGCTTGCAAATATGTCAGGGATTACAATATAAATAAATCCATTATCTGTACGGATTCTCTTGGTTCCCTCTCTGCCTTGAAGGATAGGGTCGCAAACTTCTCCCTTGACCCCATTATTCATGATATCGTTAACATCATTATCAATATCACTAAGAAAGGTCAACTGATTAATTTCTTATGGGTCCCTGCCCACCTGGACCTGGAGGGTAACACTGAAGCCGACCGTCTTGCTAAAATGGCTGCTACTCTTGATATTAGTAATACCCCTTTTACGGGCTATCTTTCTCATCCTAGTATGGAGGAGATTAAAAACCTCATTGAAAAGGACCATCAAGCTAGTTTTAACATTCAATGGCCATTTTTCGATCCCCGAAGATGCTCTCAGATATATTTTGAATATGTGAACCATAAGGTGGTTAGACCTTGGTTTCGGAGCTTTGATCTACCTAGGAATTATATCAACCTGGTATCCCGTCTCAGGTCGGGCCACATATGCGTCGGCGCACACTTTCTGCGAATGAACTGGAATATCCCCCCCCATTGCTCTTGTGGGGAGGGCATAGGTTCTATTCCTCATCTGCTCAACCACTGCATTTTACTTAATCCTGGCCGCTCGAACTTCATTAACTTTGTCAGGAAAAGGTTCAATGATATCTCCAACCTGGAAGCAAAACTTACTGCCCTAATATTCCATCCAGACCTAGAATCTGTCTCGGAGTTAGGGGATTTTTTTATTGGGCGCGGTGTACTAATTTAATCTCACCTACCTCCGTAGTTATTAAATTTGTTTACTTTATTTCTATTAGTTTTTTAAGCTTTAGCACGTAGGATCCTAGGTTAAGTTACACTTGTTATTGTTTCAAAGTTTAGTTTTTAGTTAATCTAAGGGTTTTATCTAGCCGCCAAGGCGATATATTTATTTTACATCTGTCTCAGGCCTCTAGCTCGGACCCGATCTACACATCATGCTTCTCACACACTCGGACTTCCCATCCCTGCGGCTTCACCTCGGGACGGCTCAGTGGTGCCCTCGCGGGGTGGCGCCATGGGATCACATCGGTGAGCAGTTGCATCGATCTTGTTCATTGAGTTGTTATTGTTACGTCTATAAGTTTTGAAAATGCATTGTTTGTACTGCTTATTATAATTCACTTTGGTTCGGTTGGGAGGGGGGCTCCCATCTATGCTTCTAATTTTCCTTTCCACGCATCCATTGAGCTTTACAAATACCTCGTTTCTCCACAACCTTGCTGCAAGCAACATACAAAGTCTCCATCACACATGCGTGCTTCAACACGGTTGCTTCGACACTGCCTGCTCACTCAACCTGCTTTGGACTGGACACAGCTATTATACTCACGCCTTGCTTCACGATACAACCACCTATTCTCACACCACTCTGATGCAATCAACATACATAAACAACGTTACACTTGTGTGCTGCGCTTTAATCTTTTTTCTAAGACTACTTCGGACTCGATACAACCTTTCTTCTTATACTTTGCTTCAAGTTACAAGTTTTCATTCTACATTAGAATGGTTTTCACCACATTGTTATTTTGATTCAGGACTTTGTGTGCATTCACCACGTCTAAGAACTATAGTTTCATCGAATTGGCCTGATATTATCGAAGCCACACCATATACAATTTTTTTTTTTTGAAGAAGAAGAAGAAGAAGATCAATGAGCATGCCAGTACATTGTCTATATATATATATATATATATATATATCAAATGATTTGAAACGCATGTGTTTTCTCATCGACTATTGTTTGAAATGTACAACCGTGCTATTATTCTTCTTCTAAAACCGAATATCCATCTCTCTGTGTGTGTGTATGTGTGTGATGCGCAAAAGTATTGTGCTTAGTGCGTGAGATGACACCAGAAGTGACAGGTGCGTTTTATAAAATCAGTGCTCAATTTTCCCACAAATTTTTGATGAAAAAATGAGCTAATGTGTCAACAATTTTAGTGTATATAAAATATATAATCGATAATAATAGAAAATATGGCCAAGGACGAAGGCGATGACCTTTTACCTGACAAAGACGCTGCAAAGGGATTTTATGCAAAATATGAACCTAAAGAAATTCTCGGAAGGTTTGTATATTTACAATATTATTTTATAATTATTATTTAATTCTAATTGTTATTTACATATCGTGTAATATTATTATAAGACGCAATTTTATTACAAAACTAAGATAATTGTTAACGACTATTCAGTATTTTAAAGCGTCAAACGTAAATGCATGTGAAACTAACCTTAAAATTATGTAATTCACAATCTTGACAATGTCATTATTCATGTATTTCTTTTTTTTTTAATGTAAAAAAAAATAATTAACGAGGCCAAAAGATGTATACTTTTGAAGTAGTAAAATTTTAATATTATTTAATTTGTTATGATAAATTTTGTATATTTGTTATTTAGTTCATTTTTTTAAAATAAATTTTTGAGTATATTATATTATTATTTCGTTGAGGTCATGTTTTCAATGTGACGATGAGCTTGAATTATTAATAAACTTTATTTATTTTAATAAAATAACGAAGCTACTCTTTATTTTTTATTAAAATTAAATTAATTTTTTTTTTTTTTTTTTAATTTCAACCTTGATATTATTTGAGGATTTATTTGTTTGTATATTTATATGGATAACAAAGAATATTTATAATCTTTCCGAAATGCTTTTTTATCATCAGTCTTTGTTTATAAAGACGAGGAAATGTTGCTCTGTGTGATTAAAGATTACGCATGATTAATTTTGTATTCATTTGCAACATCGATGGTACTTTCTTTTCTCATGTATTGATTAATTCGATCACGTAAATATAAAAAATATTTTTGATTAAAATAGTTCATGACCTTAAAATCTGAATTTCTTCATAATAACTTTTGTTTTGAGGAGAGAATATTAATTTTTATTTATTTTTTTTTTTATATTTCGATTATTTAACTACCTATGGAATATTTATTTATATTGGTAAAAATAATATATTACATATTATTTTAATTTTATTTATTCTTTTGACAATTATAAAATACAATTTTGTTTCTTGTCAAGAAATAAAAAATATATTTTAAAATTTTTATGAAATTTTCAGGGTTGCAACAAGTCAGGGAAATTAGGAAAAAGTTTTTTTTTTCTCTTTGAATTTGTTTTTTTTTTCATCTTGAAAATATTTAAATCATTTTAAATTATTAAAATTTTATAAAATAATATTTTTATAGTTTAAAATACTATAAAAATAATTTCAGTTTAAGATAAACGATTCAAATTCAATATTAAGAGGAAAAATTTTAATCCATAGAATTAAATGTATTGTTAAAAAAAAAATTTCATTGCCAAAATTCATTCAAATTCTAACAATTATCTTATTAAATTTCTTATTTCCAACAATAAATCGATACAATTTTTTTACAATTATTAAGATTAACAGGTTATATATTTAGAAATAATTGAATTTCAGGCGATTAAAAACTGAAAGTTTTTGTAAATTCATACTTCTGAATTTTTTTTATTATTACAAATTTAAGAAAATAATAAAATTTTAGAAAATTTCTAATAAATTTTTTTTAAATAATTAAAGTTTTGAAAAACTATTAAAATTATTAAAAATTATTGATTTAGCGAAAAATTTTAGATAAAAACTTATAAATACCTACTTAAATATTCGTATAATTTCTATTAAGATTTTTAGAATTAATTGAATTTGAATTGCTGAAGGTTTTTTTTTTTTTTACAAATTTTTAACAATAATTGAGTCTAGAGAATTTTTAATTAAAAATTTTTGTAAATAATTGAAATATCGGAGAATTTTTGTAAAATTTTTTTAATTAATTAAATTTTTGAAGTTTTACAGTAAAAATTGTTCGTTAATGATTAAATTTAAAAAGATTTTTAATTGAAAATTTAGAAAATATTTAAATGTATGAAAAACTTTATAGTTATAAGTTTTTTGTAAAAAAAAAAATCAATTTCGATATTTGGAAATAATTTTATATCTCGAAGAGGTGCAATCAAAGTTTTTAATAATATAATGAAACTTTTGAATAATTTATAATTTGACTTTTTTTTACAAATAAAATAAATTTTGTGGAAATTAAAATTAATGTATTAAAAGCAATAATTTAAATTTAGTAATTGCTTAAATAATTAAATTATTGAAGAAGTTTATTGAAATTTTTTAAAATGATAAAATTTGCAGAGATTTTAAACTAAAAATTTCAAAAATAATTCAATTGTCGAAGAATTTATTAAAAATTATGAAATAATTAATTTTTTTTTACATAATAATAATTTAAATTATATTTTTAAAAATAATTATGGTTTTTCGAATATATTGAATTAAAAGAATTGTAGGTAATTAAAATTTCGTAAAATTTAATTGAAAAGTTTGAAAAAAATTGAATTTTTAAAAAGAATTTCATTAAAACTTGAAAATATGTAATTAAAATTTTTTTAAGAATTTCAATTTTTTTCTTTATACAATTTTTGTTTAACATAATTTTCATTTGATTGAATTTTCATTTATCACAATTTTTTTTTTAAATAGGATTCTTATTTGATAAAAAAAAGAAAAAAATTCGAAAATGTCGGGGAAAAATACAAAATATTGTCTGGAAGTCAGGGAAAATTAAAAATGAAATTTTTGTGGAAATCCTGATTTAAAATTTTTATAATAATAATATTGTTTATAATTTTTATGAATCATTTTCAAAATTGTCATTTAATTAATTTTTTTTTCTTTCTTTGTATAGAGGAATTTCGTCAACAGTTAGAAGGTGCATAGAAAAAGAAACAGGTATTGAATATGCAGCAAAAATAATAGATATAAGTAATGAACCTCATGATGGCACTGATTTGCACACTATGAAAGATGCAACAATGCAAGAGGTGCACATTCTACGTAGAGTGGCTGGTCATCCATTTATAAGTAATTAAAAACAGATTTAACTATATATATATATATATAATTAACTTTTAATGAAGAGGAGAAAATAAATTATTTATAATATAAATTATTTTTTCTTTTTCAGTTGAATTACACGATGTATTTGAATCGAATACCTTTATTTTCTTGATATTTGAACTATGTAAAAATGGCGAACTATTTGATTATCTCACGTCAGTTGTTACATTGTCAGAAAAAAAGACTCGTTATATCATGAGACAGGTATTTGAGGGAGTACAACATGTGCACAATGAAGGAATTGTACATCGTGATTTAAAACCAGAAAATATTCTGCTTGATGATAGTTTAAATGTCAAAATTACAGATTTTGGCTTTGCTAGAATGTTAAATGCTGGCGAAAAACTTTATGGTTAGTAGGTTAATATTTAAAAAAATAAAATTATTTTTTTGCTAAAATATGAAATAAATTGTATTTTAAATATCTAATTTATTTTAAACGGGATTATTTTGTTTATAGATTTATGCGGTACTCCAGGATATTTAGCACCAGAAGTGCTTAAATGTAATATGTTCGAAAATGCGGAAGGTTATACTAAAGAAGTTGATGTGTAAGTTGTGTGAGAAAAAATTATTATAAGGCGAAGAAAAAATAAATTAAATTATATGTTATTGATAGGGCAATTTTTTAAATACTTTTAATAAGTTTTTTTTTTTTTTTTTTGTTTTACTTTCAGATGGGCTTGTGGAGTAATAATGTATACATTATTGGTAGGCTGTCCACCTTTTTGGCATCGAAAGCAAATGGTTATGCTTAGGAATATTATGGAGGGAAAATTTTCGTTTACGTCTCCAGAATGGGCCGATATAACTGGTAAATATATTTTTTTTATTTTTATATTAATATAAATAATATGTTAATTTATTTATTAAATGTTAAAAAAAAATTAAATTACAGTGAAAAAAAATTCTAGTTTCTAAAAGTATTTTAGCTACAATAATTAATAAATTTAGTTCGATTTATTTTAATTTTTTTAAAATTTATTTATTTGAGAACATATAATCTGTGTGGATTATTGTTATTTAAACGATGATTTTATTAAAATTAAAATCTCAAATTTGTCTTTTTTTAGTTTTATTTATTTGCTAAAATTTTCAAAGATATTTAGTAAATTTCTTTTTCTTGGAAATTAAATTAAAATTTTTTTAAGAGGACGTGATATTCTTTACTTTGTATATTAAATAAAAAAAATTTATTCTGTAAATAAATTAAAGAATTATTTTCTGAACTAAAGTTGTAAATTTATATATAAATTATTAATCTTTCATATAAAAAATAACTTAAATGGCTATTTTGGCAAAAAATAGGTTTTGAACATTTTTGCAAGAACGGAATTTTTTAAATTTTATTTTTTTAATTGAGAAATAAAATTAAAAATAAAATTTATAAAATAAATAAGTTGAATTTATGAAATAATAAAATTGAAAGAACTATAAATTTTTAAAATAGTTAAATTTACAAAATATTTATTGTCTCCCAAAATTAAAATAATTACAACTAATGTAGTTGGAAAAATTAAATAATTTTTTTTCTTGTCAAAATTAGTAATCTTCATTTTATATTTGCAGATGCTCCAAAGGATTTAATTAGAAAATTATTAGTCGTTGATCCAAAGAAGAGGATAACAATAAAAGAAGCTTTGGAACATTCATTCTTCCACACTGTGGTGAGTAATTTTTTTTTTTTTTTTTTCATCAAATGGTTGAAAATTAAAAAAAAAAGTATTTGATATATTTGCGAAATTATTAAATGCATGTTCATTGGGGGTAAATTCTATTTTTAATTAAGGTTGCAAACAAAATATGGTGAACAATATTAAAATACTTGTTAATGGTTTTTTTTATGCACAAGCTTATAAATATTACACATCTTAGGAATTCGAAACGAGCAGCCTAAAACAATTTTTACCTCAACAATATGCATTCGCTTGATTTAAAGAATTTTCAGTTATTTTAAGTTATTTGCTTTATTTTATACATAATATACATTACAGTTGTGGGACCAAGACATCGCTCCCTTAAAGCGTTCTCTGTCTTCTAATTCGAGACGTCTGAGTAGGATATCTCAATTAGCTTTGGTAAATTATTATTGTCTTTCTTTCATAATTCAGTTTTTCTTCTCCTGTCCGTCAAATTTAAAATAACGGTTTTTTTTTGTTTTATAATTTGTCCTTTTTTTTCGAGAATAATAACGATAATTTGTTTGTGCTTAATCGAAATCTGTTTAAAAAAAAAGAATAATTATGTTTTTAATTTTTTTTTTCTTAATTGTAAAGTTTTCTATTAAACTAATTTCTGTGTTTTTTAATTAAAATAATTTTAAAAATGGGTTTTATTTTTCTGCAGTGTCATGTTTAATGTAATATTTTATTCGATACGTATTTGCCGTCACTAATTAATTGTCTAATGACAATGTCTTGAGTGTGAAAAAAATGCATTTTTGAAATGTTTTTCTTTTTTTAGAAAAAGAAAGATATTAGTTTTTTAAAAACATTTTTTTTATAATTCTTATTTTATATATTTATGATTTATTTATTAAATAATATTTACTACTACTATTTTATTATTATTTATTTAACAAGTAAACGGGCTTACAAAAAAAAAGAATATTATTTACATACAATTTTTCATTTAACACATGGGTTACTAAATAACTAACTACATGTAATTTTCAGTTTTTCAAAAATTTTAACACTTCTTTTGTTTCTCATTTATACATTGTGCTATACATGCTATCAATGTTAATTTACGCTTTATTATAAAGGGGTTTGGATTTTGTAACCTTTAAATATAAACACAAAAAAAAAATTAAAAAAATATTTAAATTTTCAGAAAAAAATGAAATATCGCATTTAAAGAATTATAAAAAGAAAATTAAAATTCTATGCGCCTAATTAAAAAAAAAATGAATTAAACATAAAAAATCTAATCTGATTTTTCTAGATAAATATCACATGTTTATTTTAATTTTACATATATGTTACTTTTACTTTCATATAGGAACTCAAGGCAAAATCATTTAATGCAAGGAAAAAATTTCAACTGGCAATTCTTTGCATCCGAGCGGTTATTCGCATTAAAAGATTACACACAACTCCAGAGCCTCTTTCTATAAGTGTAGCATGTGATGATCCATATAGAATCAAGGTTCTACGAAAGGTTTGTTCAATTAGATTATTATTTTTTTTTAATAACGTTAGATAATTTGATAATAATTATTTATTACAGGCCTCGGATTATACGACTTTTTTTTTTATTAAAATACGACTTTTTTCAACTTATTTTAATAAAATGCGAATTTTTCGACTTTTTTTACATTTTTTTTAACAAAATTTTTAAACAAAATATGTCTTTTTTAGTATGCAATGCAGATCTTCTTCATATCTTTTTTATTTTAATTATTTAACAAATTTTTAACTAAAATTTTTTGCTACATTAATTATTTTTAATAATTTTAATGAAATTCTTCACAAATTCAATTATTTCAAATTATTTTTCAATTAAAATTTTTATGAAATTTATTAATTGTTTATAATTTTTTAAAAATTCGGAAATAAAATTACCAATAAATTTTAATTCAAAATCACTTGAAATTGAATAATTTGCAAAAATTTCAAATTATTTTTAATGATTTTTATAATATTCTTCGAAAATTCAATTATCTGAAAGCATTTTTCAATTAAAAAAATTTTGGAATTCAATTTTTTTATGTGATTTCTAATAAATTCTTCATCAATAGAAATCATTAAAAAATTTTATTATTATAATTGTTGTCTGAAATTTAACACCATCTTTTAAAATTCAATTATTTTCAAAAATTTCAATTTAAAAACTTCTAAAATTTAATTACTTATTTCTTAAATTTTCCATCAAAAATTTTTTTAATTTTAATACTTTCAATTATAACTTTCATGAAATTCAATAATTTTTCATTTAAAAATTCATTTTTTCACTTAAAAAATTTTTTCAAATTGTATTTTTGTCTGCAATTTCTAATAAATTTTTTAGTAACAGAGATCATCAAAAATTTTAAATTAAAAATCACTTGAAGTTCAATTAATTTCAAAAATCAAAATTGTAAATATTTGAAAATTCAATTACTTTAAAAAAATGTTATCTAAAATTATATTTGATAAATTATTATTTTTAGTTCTGTAAAATTTAATTATTGTCTGAAAATTAATAAAATGTTTTGCAATTCAATTATTTCTAAAAATTTCAACTTTAATTCTTTTAAAATTATTATTTAAAAAAACATTTTTATTTAAAAATCTGTAAAAATTGATTAAGTATTGCCTGAAAATTTTTTGACCGTCAAAACTAATAACTACCTATGACAAAATTTTTAATTCGAATAAATTTCTTAAATCAGAATTTTGAAAATTTGTCTTACAATTAGTTCGATTCTAAGATATTCGAAATAAATTTTCTTGATAATATTTATTGTAGAATTATTCTCATTGCGGAATTAATAAAATGAATTTAATATCTAATAACATTAGTTATTTAAAGTAAAATATTCAAAAACCAATTAAATTTTGTTAAAATAAAAAAATCGATTTTTTCGACTTTTTTTGGTATATAAATCTACTAAAACGATTTTCTTTCAGTCGATCCGAGGCCTGTTATTATAGTACTTATATTACTTATAAAAATTAATTTCCATTTCACAACAGTAATCAATGATTTTACAATAATGATTATTGATTTTTTTTTCTAATTCTTTGCGGCACTGCAGCAAATTTACATTTTTTTTTGTAAATTAGCATAAATTCAGATTTTCTAATCAAACTATTAAAAAAGTGGTTTAGAAGAGAATTTATTCAAAATTTTCTTTTCTTTTTCTTTTAAAAATTACCATAAATTAATTTCAATTTAATTAATTTAATTAATTAATAATATTAATTTTCTTTTCTTTTACTTTTAAAAATTACCGTAAATTAATTTTAATTTAATTAATTTTAATTTTTAATATTATTATCATTTTAGTATTAACATTTTTTTAAAAATATTATTCAGGTGATTGATGGATGTGCATTCCGTGTTTATGGTCATTGGGTGAAAAAAGGAGAAGGACAAAATCGAGCAGCACTTTTTGAAAATACACCAAAGACAGATCTTAAACATTTGTATGTGACTAATTTGAGTAGATAGCCAATATTACAATGAAGCGAAGCTTATTATAAATAGTTAAATTTTTCAAGTACTTTATTTATAGTTTAATAACATTTTTTTTTCTTCTAGAGAATTTTTAGTCATATTGAAATTTGTCAGTATGTGAATATATATAATATGTAGGCAAAAAAAGGAAAAAAAAAAAAGAAAAAAGATTTTACGTTAAAAAGAAACTGTCGATTATGTCTTTTAATTGTGATTAATCGATTGTGTTCTCTTTTTTATATATATATATATAGAGAGAGAGAAATGTGATATTTTTCCACTGGAATAATTGGTATATAAATTAATTAATAATTTTTGAAAAAAAAGACGAATGCAAAGAAAGTTCATAGAATTAATGTAAATTATCATTAAATATTGAAATTAATGAAAGGCTCGATTGTTAGTTTTCTTTAATTACTATGTTAAATTGCAAAATTCTTTAAAGTAGCTTTAGTGCCTATGATGTTTTAATTAATACTAATAATTACCGTGTAAATTAAAGTGAACAAAAAAAAAAAAAAGTTTTTGTTGAAACTTTTTAATTATACTGAAAGAAAATTATTTGAATATTTAATTAATTTGACTATTATGAAATAAACATTTATTTGGTCCAAATAAATATATTTTTTGAAACTAATAATTCTTTATTTGGATCAAATAAATATACATATTTTGAAGCAAATAATTGTTTATTTGGTTAATAAAATATTTATTTACATTAAATAATCATAAAATTTATAATAATTATTTAATTTCAATTTTAATTTACTTTAATATTTATTCAATTAATTTTCTTTCAGTGTTAATTTAAATGGTGCTGCGTAAATCATAATTTTAAAATCTAATTTTTCTCTATAAATAAAATCAGTAAAAAAAAAAAATATCAAAAAATTGTAAATATTTCAATTTTTGATGAATATTTACAATAATTTTTTAGTACAAAAATAGAAAAATATCAAATAATATAAATGTGCCATAAACTTTAAAAACGTTAAAATAGAGTCAAATAAAAATCCTAATTGAAAATTATTTCATTTCCTAATTATAAATATTAACCAAAACAAATATCAAAGGATGTTTTCAACAAATTTTTTTGTAGCGTTTACAACGAAAATCGTGTTGTAAATATATATATATATTTTTAACTATATATTTATTGATTGAAACTTAACAGTATAAAGAAATGTCACAACGAATGTTATTGAATAATGTGTTTTTAGTTATTTTTTAGTGTGAGTGTATGCGTGTGTTTGTAGTTTCCATTTTTAGAATTTAACTAAAAAAAAATTAATATGCACCAATATTTAAAATTCAAATTTACAATTTTTATTTTCAATATTATTGTTGTTACACATGTTTTTTTTAATACATCTTTCAAGAGTTAAAAAAAATAATTAAGTAATAGAAAAATGTTAAAAAATTACATAAAATGCTTATCTTTAAATTGTGTCACATAAAGTTTAGAAAAAAAAAAAAATAAATACAAATTTGATTTTGCATTAAATCTTGCGTTATTTTTATTGACATAAATTTCAGCATAAAATATTATTCAAAAAAGGATTTAAAAAAAAAAAAAATACAAAAAAAACTAGTTTAAATTAAATATTAATAATAATAAATAAATTGTCGATAAACAAATTCATATAACTGTCATTTAATTTAAATTTTTAATGAAAAAGTAATTTTAAAAAATCCATTTTAAAATTCACAATTTATACATGGTTTTAACTTGTTATTCGACTAAAATTTAATTTACTTTATAATTCATTTAAAACTTTTTATTCGAGTAAAAAATTTCATTTTCTTTCAAATTGTTTACAATTCATTTAATAATTTGAATCTGATGAATTGATTGGTCCTTTAAAAAAAATTCAAAATACAAAAAAAGACAGTTAATTCCAAATACAAAAAAAATGAGAACAAGTACCTGTAAAAAAAATAATATACCATGGGGCCATTCCCAATATCAGTCTGTCAGTTGAAAAGAAAAGAAGAAAAAAAAAACATTTCAGAAATATATTGGCGCGTGCGCTAATGAAAAGATGCAATTTGATTGGTCAATTTTTTTAGATCCAATGGTGTCATCTAACGTGTGATTGGTTGTAAATCCAACTATGATTTGAATTATCAGTGACCGCGCAGTTTTCAGAGACGTGGCAACGTTGCCGCATCGCATGTAGTACGAGCAAAGTGAATAACGGAGAGTGACGCCGCGCGTACCGGAATTCTCATCTATTGTATTGTATATAATTGTTATAATAAACGTGTAATTTCATTAAATGTACATTTTACATTCGGTGACGTTTTACGAATTTGTTGATAAATAAATGAGAAAAAAAAAATAGAAGTGAAAAATATCATTACACGCCCAGAGAATTGCAATAGGCCTTCTCGCTCATTGGTCGATAAAGCCGAATGACGTGCTACGATTGGCTTATGACAGGGAACCCAGACACGTGAATGTGAGGAGAAGCATGGATGGGTGGCTGCGTTGATGCGCAGTGGTTAACACACAAAATGTCTCTGCCACGCGCCAGATCGTTATAAACCGTCGTTATAAACGTCTCGGAATAGACGTTTAATGTTCGGTATTAAGTTGCGTGTGTTTATTATAATTGTGTTCTAAAGTAGCCAAAGGAAAAAATAAAGGGGGAACACTTAAAAAGATTGATTTCCCCGTTTTTGAGAAAGCGAAACCGTGGATAAGCTCGGGACTCGATACTGCAATACAAAAGGTAAGAATGAGAAAAAAAAAAGAGTTTTGATTGCTTCCACCACACCCGTCATCACGAGGGAACATGAAGATACATTTCTTTTGTCTCTTGTTTAAAATAGGTGGTTGCGTGGCGTGTTTTCCACCTTCACCAATCCCGTGTCCCTGTGACGTCACGACGCCGCTTTGAGCCCGCTTCGCATGTTGGTGCACACACTTGCGATAGTGTTTCTCTTTTCGATCATCATTTTATCTTTCTTTAACTCTTTGTTTGTCTCACTTTTACTATCTCTTTTTAGTGTATGTCTGTCTCATTCTATCTCTCTCTCTCTCTCTCTGTCTTTGCTCCGTTGACTTTTCTCTTGACGATATTTGTAGGTTAGGCTATGTTCGGACCAGGTGGGGTGGAGTTCCCCCTTCCTTCACTTCGTCTCTTTTCTCCTTTTCGCGCAATATCCGCGAGAGATTTACAGGATTAGAGATTTTTTTTTTTATCACCTTGTCGGTAGGCCCTCTCCGAGTACAGTAAACAAAATACGCTTTTTTTGACACATACACACAGACGGGGGAAAAAAAAAAAAAGTTTCCTGCTTGAACCTGTTTCGAGTTCCAATGTGTATTATGTCATCCCATTTCTAGGTGTTTCTAAAGCTTTTAAAGTCAGTGACAGTCGCAAATACAATTAACTGAGAATACGTTTATTCTTTAATCAACCGATTTAGATAATTGAAGGAATTTTATTTGCTGTCGGAGAAAAATGAAAAAAAAAAAAAAATCAGGAATGAATTTTTCAAAATTAGATAGAAATTTTTCAATTTAACCTTGATATTGCAAATTTTTTTTTTGTTTTTTGTAAAACAGGTTTTATTACAAAAGCCAGATGAAATGGCACACATTCAGTTGGCAAAAGTTGTGATCTAATGTCATTTGCTTGCAATTGGAATGATTGATTAGACATTTATTTTTTGTTTGTTGAAAAATGTCGAAATTCACTGTTTTGTGAAAAATAATTCAATTGGCATGTAGTGTAATACAATTTTACAGTGCAATTCAAAAAAAAATTATTTTTGTTTTTTTTTATGATTTAAAAAAACGTTAAATTATTTAAGATCCTATTTTTTTAGCAAAGTAAAATTAGGTAAATTAAATCAGGTTCTGATTGATTGTTTATAGAATTTTTTTTTTTTTTTTAATAATAAATTTCCAAAAAATAAATACATGTCTTTAAATAGGTTTGAATATAACAACAATAATTTTTCCTTGTCCTTTCACTCGGTTTTGAACTACAATATATATATATATATATAGGCAAACGCCTCTCTTTAATTTTTCCTGCATGCTTATTTGTAACTCTTCAACACCCAACTTTTTAGCGTTATGTATATGTTGTGCACCATATGTTGTGTGTAGGTTCGTGACTGGAACAGAAATAATGACACATTCCGCACATAATATAAAATACCATATAATGATTGGTTCTCTTTTTTTTAAGGTGCTTGTATTTTGCAAATGTTTATAATTTTTATATTCTATTGAAAAAGTGAAAAAGAAAATTTGTTTTTAAATATTAAAACGATTCAAATTAAAATTAAATTACAATAATGTCAAGTGAAATGAAAAAAAAATATATTGTCAAATAGAATTTGAAATTTTTTTAAATTTAAAAAAAGTTTCTCATTAATGTACGCTTAATTTTGCACTTTAGTCAACTGGATGTAGATGCAATGCATTCAGCATTCACTTTACGCGGTTTTCAGTTGAAGAAGGGAGAGAAATTAGCGCATGCTCTCTTTAGGTTAGAGAGATATTGTCATTCAGGAAGGGGTGAAGGAGGGGGGGTTTACTTTTATATTATGGATATAGGGGAATATGGCATCACGGTTTAAACTGAAGTGATTGTCATCAATCAAAAACTTTTTTTTTCTCTTTTGGAATTTGTTTTTTTTTTTTATTCATATTTTTATTTTATTAAAATGACAACTCTATCAATTTGTTGTTGTTTTTTTTTTTTTGGTTGTGAAAAAAATGTGATTTGGATTTTTATTTTGTAAAGAGACAAGGTTCACGGTTTGAATGTTGAAAACGATTATAGAAAGACTTTTTTTTTTTTTTTAATCAGTTCAGAAGGTTATTTATTGAGACAATCGTTATCATTAGCATTGCTTCTTTGTACCAAGTTCATTAATGGAATATTGAAAATAAATATAAATTAATTTCACTTGACACGTGATTCTTTATTGTCAAAGTTGTAAAAGAGAAAAATTATTCTTTGTCTTAATGTATTTATTGTAGCTTATCAAAAAAAAAATAATAATAATAATAATTGTCTCTGTGATACAATGCAAGTTAATTCGACTTGAATCGAGA